ATTAGGCTTTGTGCTGATTTTAAAGACACAATTATTCTAGCTCTAGAGGATTTTAAATATCCCTTCCAAGAAAAAATGATTTAGCTAAATTTTCGAGAGGAAAGAAATTTACCAAGGTAGATTTTAAAAACGTGTTTCTACAGATTCTCATTGACAAAAGCTGCAAAAATATTTTAACAATATCCATGCACAAGGTCTACTACCAATTTACCAGACTTCCTTTTGGGCTAAAGTAAAGACTTCATCTGCAATTTTTCAACAAATTATGGATCAAATGTTTGGTATTATGAAAGATGTCATATTTTACATCGATGATTTACTTATAACTGAAAATAACGACGAAGCTCATTTAAACTCATTAAAAAAGTTTTTGAAAAAATTACGTTATATGGTTTATTACCTAATTTTGCCAAATATAAAAACATTGAATTGGAAAAGTATAATTAAAGATTGTCTTTACAAGAACAACAAAATCATAATTCCATTAAGTATGAGAAAAAACGTACTCAAACATTAAATGAAAGTCATTTGGGAGCAGAAAAAATTAAATCCTTAGCCAAAGATTATATGTGGTGTTCCGGTATGAATTATGATGTAAGATGAAATTAAAAAGTTGTGAGATTGTAATACACATTTTGGACAATCCTAAAAATATACAAAAACCATGGGTTTTGGCAACTAAACCATTTGAAAGGATACATATAGATTATGGGCATCCGTTTTTCAGAAAAAATTGGTTAATAATAGTCGATGCCTATAGTAAATATCCAATTATTGTCCTGTCATACAACAGAAATTACATTAAAAATTTTATTACAACCATGGAATATCTTAAACTATAGTCACTGATAATGGTACTAATTTCACAAGTAATCTTTTCGAGAAATTTTGGTGATTATGACATAAAATATATACTGACCTCCGCATACCACCAGCAGTCTAATAGCCAGGTGGAACGTATGATGAGAACGTTTAAGATGCACATGAAAAGAAATATAAAGAGTGATTTAGATACTTCACTTGATAAATTCTTATTCAATTATAGAAACACACCAAATAATACAACAGGAGTTGCACCTTCCAAAAGAATGTTTAATCGCCATATTAGAATTCGATGGGAATTAAAACCGTTAGGGGAAAAGGAAGATAAAGATAACGTAATACTATCACGTAATAGAATTATGAATTTAGGAGAGGAGACTTTATTTGGCATAATATACAAGGAGATGATAAATGGGATAAAGGAATGATCATACACAATGATGGAGGACAGAAAGGGTATAGTAATGAGACACTTAGACCAGTTAAGAAAAAGTAGATGTTATAATATGTTTTTAAATCATGATATTAACTCTAAGAATTCTTTTAAGGAGGGAAGTGTGGACACAAAAAATATTATAAACAAAAACATATTAACACCAATTTCTAGACCTATAAGAATAAAACAAAAACCTGTTTACTTAAAAGTTATGTAACTTAAAATATAAAATAAATATTTAACACTAAAACACGAAAATAAAATAAACATTAAAAATATGATATAATAATCTTATTGATTTATCATTCCAACATTCGATTATTCAATTTATTCAATTCAATTCCATATATTATTCCGATTATTCATTTATTCTTATCCAATTCGATCAATTCTTATTATTCCTAATTATTCATAATGTATTGATGTTGATAATTTATTTTGAAAAATTGGTAATAATAAGAAGGGAGTACGACAAACAAGCTAACATGACAAAATTATGATTGATGAAAACAACTTATGATAAGGATAACAAGTTAACGATTGGACAAATCAATATACAAACTCAAAAACGATTTGGACAAACCTACGTACAAACTCAAAAACGATTTGGACAAACCAACGTATAAAAATCAATGGCAATACATACAAACCAACGATAACGAATATGATTTATGCAACAACTAGAACGGCCAAAACGATAAATCAGTGATAGCAAAACTTCTTACAAGTGGGAAAATGTTATGAAATAATAGTATTTGTAAATTCTTATTTTTCGTTAACCTTATTTTTGTACTTAACCACGCGAAGATAACATTTTTATTTCTTACTTATTTTAACCTCGCTAAAAAGATATTTTATTTTATATTTTTCGTATTCAAATTTTATATATATCGAAAGAAATTACTTTTTTTTAGATATATAAAAATAAACTGTCTGAAGTTTTACATTTGTGAATAACTTTACAATAACGTTTTTATAAAAATATTAATAAGAGAGAAACTTAATTTTATAATTGTAAAAAAAACGGTAAATAATAAACTTCTTGTAAAATTGATAGGAGAACGAGAGATATTTTATTCTAAGTTTAGGAGTATCACCGCTGATGGCGATATCCTTTAAATAATTTGCTATGATAATCTTTTTCTCTTTTTAAAAAAACTAATATAAAAATTTACGAATAATATAGTAAATGAATATTTACTATTTCTTTTAAATGTAATAAATATAATAAATCTTCTGGAATTTAATATATCTTTACATATAGGGCGTTTTTCACTAATTCCAAACTATATATTTATAAATTTCCCTCATATAGGTTGTCTAATATATTTTAGCCGAAAATGTCATACTTCTAACGACTTTTTATCAAGAATTAAGAAATGAGGCTTTTTGACCCTAGTAGGAGGATGCCGTTGGAATCGACTCGGCACGAAACTCCCACAAGAATTGCGTCTTTCCTGTCCGTAGGAAGGCGCCATTTGATATTTTTAAAGAATAAAAATAAAGAACACTATATACTATTCTCCGACTATAATTTCCTTAATTTTATATTTCCCCAATTAAAATAAAGAATAGAAGACATTATTTTAATATTTCATCATAATTTCCTCCGGCTATTTACATTTTTCATGTAATGCCACGAATTTCATATTTCTCCAATTAGAATACAGAATAGAATATAAATAATTTATACAAAAATTCTCATGAACATCTCCCCATTATTATCGATAAATTACTTATTATGATTCCATAATTTATAATATAATCTCCTAAAGATTATTTGGATATCCTGAAATTATTTCTTCTACAAATAAAATTTTGACCTGATAATATCAGCGATAAAATAGTACTAAGATATTCTAGAATAATTTTATACAATAATTAAAAAATTTTCCAGCGAATACCAGTAATGCATAACATATATAATATCGTAGTAACGAAATAATAATTTTGATGAAATTTAATTCTTCCCTATAATATCTTTAGTAATTTAGCATTTAATTTCTTACAAAGAAAGAATATCAATGAAGAAAGGCATAGATAATATAGTAGTTACGGAAATGATTTTGATAAAAATCAAATTGTTCTCAATAATATCTTTGGATAATATAGCGCCATAATAAAAACTCTTGTAGAATTCAAGATATTTTATTTTAAATTTTGGAGTATCTCATCGCGCTGATGGCAATATCATTTAAATAATTTGCGAATACTCTTTTTCTCCTTTTAGAATAAATTCAAACATAAAAATTAATGAATAATAAATTAATAATCTTTACAACTTCTTTTAAACGTAATAAATATAATCAATCCGTTCGAAATTAATACATCTGTTAAAATAAATCATTTTGTCAAATACAATATATGTAAATATAATGGAAACTACAACAGTTAATATGGCAAACAAATTTTTTATAATTTAGAATTTCTAAACAGCCTATCAGTGAAATAATTCGTTGATATACTTTAAATAGCATAAAAAAAATTATATTAGAATAGAAATGTAACGGAGCAAAAAGGACAATAATATGAAACCCAAATTTAAATGAACATTGTTCCTTCTTTTCTTATATGAAACCTATATTTGTAGCTAGGTTATCATGGACAACCAATTATTACAATCAGGAAACATAACTCTTTTGAACATTTCCAAGAACCAGTTGAGGTCGGACTCTTGGTGAAATATAAATTTTCACTCCTCACTCCTAACTCATGGTAAAGGCTTTTTTAAACGATGTTCTTAATTCAACTTAGTACATTCTGATTGGTTAATAATAATAAGTGATCACTTTAATATTCCATTTTCTTTATAAGAAATATTTCTATTGATGTAGTCAGATGTATTGGGAGAAGGTACAAGAGGGCTATCCACGAGAATAATTTAATCTGCCCGATATTATTACAGATTTTTAAAATAATGGAGTAAGATCTAGAGCATCATTAGCACACTCATTTTTATACAAAAAGAGAAGTAAAAACAGGCACAAATTAAGGATTAAATATTTCCATAAGTTAAAGAATTAAATATTGGCATAAATTTCAAAATTTATTTTTTCTTATTTTCGATTATCACAAAACTTTCTTAATTTAACTTAAAACTTATTAGATCAATTCTGTCCGTATCCGGGTTGAAGACCAATTAGAAATAATTAAAGGGCAACACATTGGTATAGGTTTCAGAATTTCCCCCTCAAGTTGCTCTGCCAACATCAACTTTTGTTATTTTACATAGTACTCTAACGGTTGATTCTGAATGTATTCCCAGGTTTAAGATAATCTAGGCATTTGAAACATATTGTATAAGTTACAGCATTTTCTCTCCAAGTCATTTTTTAACTTCATAGACCTATGAGTGAGAGAATTAAAATGATTTATTGTTTTTTCCTTCTCATTCTAAGATATATATTATAACTTTGTTAATTTTTATGTTTCATTCAAAATAGAGAAATTCTAAAAAAATTATTTATTTTATTTTAACATAAGCAGAAGCCTCAAAATTTTTCTAAATATAGAATTTAGGAAAACATTAAAAAAATAAAAACGCATTATTGTACATAAGAAAAAATAACAAATAATCCTAAATTCTAATTTTTATTGAAGTAAACACATATTACAACAACTTCATAATATTTGATTTAAATAAAAAAAAAATATGAATAAAACAAAAAAAGATAATATAGTTAATTTTTCTATGACATCATTATATGTAATATTAATATATAGTTTATTTATTTGACAAAGATATAGTACATGGAATTTTGGGATGGTATAATTATATTTTAAATGTAAACGAATTTAATGTAATGTTATAAAAGACATTTGGTATAAAAAAAATGAGGTCAGACTTCAGCTCTATAAATTGTCCTTTTATATTATTTTAATTATTGGGAAAGAAAGGTCTCAAATATTTTTCAACAATAAATCATTTCAATTTTTTTCTTATTTGTGTGGCCAATGATTCCGAGGTCTTAAATCGTCTGTAATAAATAACAAGTATATAAATATAATTATAACAATAAAATATGTGGGTAAATCATTTAAAAAAATTTGCTAAAACCGGTTTTGGCGTATATTCTATAGTACTATTAAAAGATAGTATGGGGTTTATTAAATATATTTTTGCTTTTAATATCAGCTTTCTTGTTTCAATGAGAAATTTTTGGAAATTAGATTAAAATCAAATTATTAGCGAAGGTGTTGAGATTAGATAAGTGTTTAAAAATAAAAAAAGCTAAACTAATTAATTCTTTTTAAAATTAAACTATAGGTTAAAGATTGCAATAAAAAGATTCTAAAGCTCGTAATATATTATTAAACTCTCCAATATTCTTATTCTTAAAAATGTATAAAATTTTCTAAAGAGAAGCTATTAAATGGAGTAAATAAAAAAGATTTAGATAGTTCATTCTAAAATCAAATTATCAGTTTCCGTCATATAATTTGCAAAATCCAAGTTTGGCAAATTTATATTGATTGAGGAGAATACATGGATAGCTGCTGGTATTTATAATAAGCACAGCCTAACTCTGATAGCTTTCCAAAATTAAAAATCATATTCGTATTCTGTAGTTCAATCTCACAACTGTATCAATGGAGAGCATACAAGATAAAGATAAATGAACTGATAATTTTGAAATATCTTCCAGCAGTTGAAGATAATAATTTAAAATAATAAAATGATTCCAAAATTGAAAACAAAATCGCGCTTTTAGTTTGTTTCACCGCGCTAAACAGTTTACTTAAAGGAGCTCACCTTAAAAGGCTATACTCTAAATAATATAAAAAATGAAAAGAGGTATACTTTACAACGAAAGTTTCGTCCCCTAAAACCATTTCTTCTTGAGACGAATGTGGCGGTGTTAAATAAGAAGAGGTCTCCATTTTGGATGAAGACTCGTCATTGCTGAGAGTTGTATCTTTGTTGTTTCTTTGGCCATCGATTAGGTCTAAAGATATTCAATAAGTTAATAATATAATAACATCCATTGGCGATTGTTAGGGTAAGGCACATGTTTGCTCAGTGCGAGTAAATTTAATTTGAGCATGCCTAAAATATTATCTATGCCAGGAGAGCTTTTTTAGCATGCGTATTTTAAAAAAAGACTCATTGGCATGCCAAATAAGAGCTAACGACAATTTATGGTAACCTTTTCAAGTTTGTATGGTATTTAAAAATAATTGCAAGTTATCAATTTTTCCAAGGCAACCGAAGTTAAACTGTCAGTAACAGAATGATACGATCTAAAGTAATTATTTATTTCAATATTCAAAAAAAAAGATTAAGTGGTATCATTATTGGCGTATGCAGCCCCCCCCCCACAACAAATAAATGTAGACGGTTCAAATATTTTTAAAATAATATTGTGCAAATCCCTCTCCCCCTTCCAAGCAAAAAATGCAGATGCCGAAAATATTATTGTTTTATATTAATTTTTATTTTATAATAATCATTCCTATCTTTTATTAAATATATATTTAATTACATTTATTTATCACATCTAATTTATTATATAATTTAATTTCGATTTCAAATTTTCCTTGGATTTTCAAATTTCCCAATAAATCATCATGAAGTGCTATATTATATATAATATTTTATCATTTTCACAATTTAGACAAAACTAGAATACAATAATCAGCCATATGATAGAGCCAATTTTTTTGGATAAAGATAATATCAGCGTAGAAGAAAAGGCTATACCTCTTAAAAAGGTATTAAAGATATGTATGATAAGTATTTTATTTAATAATAATAGATTTATATTCCACTCCTCAATTATAAATATTCACAAACAAATGTGAATAGAAGGTTAAAATTTTAAAACAGCTATCTTACCAGATGGTTGGGACATGCATACTCTATCCAAGATAATGATATGTGTCTTGTTTGGTCCAAGATATGCTGGAAGAAATTTAGTTGAGTTTAACAGTCTTGTTAATACTTCATTCAACGGGTACAAAGATGCCGGATAAATCTTTGGCAATCAGCAAAAACAAATTATCATGAAAGCTATAAACTCATGATTTCTTCAAAAGAATTCAAAGTAAGGATATGATTCCCATTTCATCATATATTAATAAAAATAGCACAAGAAAATAGATAAAAAATACAACTTGTATTGTGGATTGCAGGGCCTAGCATAACTCGGCCATTTGGATTCAGGAAGCTTGAATTTCGATAATAATTATGGTAATTCTCACTGTCTTGTAAAATATAAAAAATTATGGGATTCTGTATTAAAGGAGAGCCTTAATTGCAGCAATAAAAATACTATGTTTCTTAGCCCCAGGATTCAAAATGAAGTTATTTTTATTTGCAATATCATTTTAGAAAAATTAATTAAATCAATTCTGCCCTATGTTTCGCAATTTTGATAGATGAGACCACAGATATTGTAGGCATTGAGCAGATGTCATTCTGCATACGATACATGGATACTCAAAATAATATTATTAAAGAAATGCTTTTAATTTATCCCTTTTTCAACCATGACTGTTGCCTTAGCTGATGTAATATTTGTCTTAAAAAATTCAAAGTAATAATTAATCTCATGATAAAATTGTTTTTTTGAAAAATATAGTTGAACATAAATTTTTGATATGTAGGCAAGAGTATAATGGAGCTCATGCAATAAGTGGGAAATTTAATGGGCTTCAAGTATTTATAAAAAGAAAACGTTTAACAGCTATATATGTCCACTGTGCTACCATTCCCTCAACTTCACAATTTCCAATTCATGTTCTTTATCATTTTTTCATATACTGGTTATATACGTTTAATTTTTATAATTCACATTATTTGAATTTGTGTATTAGAAATAGTCTAGCCCCAGCGTCTACATTATAGGATATTAACTAGATGCAACCCCCCCCCCCTTCTAAAAAATTCCATTGCATTCGGGGCGATATTATCACATTATTAATTATACGTTTTAAATTATAATAGTACTCCCTTAATATATTTTAAAAAGAATAACTTAAATCATCAAAAGTTTATAACTAACAAAAAATTCTGAATATAAAAGAGTTAATTTAAAGCATGAGTTATATTTAAAACCCCTAAATTTACAATTAACATTATACAGCATATTGATTGGGGAAATATTAGCTAATATATCAAACCCTTTTTAAATTATGTTTAAAAAGATAGCAGAAAATTAGAATTATTTGAAAAATAACGACTATGTATATAATATTGGTCGATATTTAGCAATATACTAATATTATAATAAATTAAATTTAAAATCATTATAATTGTCCTCAAATCATTCAAAAATATAATAGACAACACTCTAAATAATTATACCCTACCCTTTTCTAAATATTTAAATGTAATCCTACCCCCCCCCCCCCGCTCATGTAGATACTGATTAGTCCTAATAAATTTATGAACTTAAGATATTTTTAAATAACAAGAAATTTATCCTTAAAAAAATTAATACCCCTCCCCCCTCCACAGCAAATTCCCACATACGCAGTTAGTATATATTTTTTAAAAAATGTTGTATTATATTAATAATAAGGTCAAAGAAAACATAATACACTTTAATATTATATTTTAAAGGTACTTTAAGCATACAAAATTTATATAATAAAATAAAATTTGTCCCAGTTGTAAGTTGCTAAGGTATCGTTACACTAGGGTTGATAAAAATCATGATTTTTTTAAATATAAAAATCGATTCACTTGATAAATAAACTTTAATGAAATAAAATAAATATTCCATGGAGGATATTCATCATCTAAGCATTATTGTGAAATTGATTTAATAAACCATTGTTAAACTGAGAGTTTAGAATTTGTATCACCATCGATCTTTATCGTTTGCCAACCAGAGATATAAAAAAACTTTGTGTTTTCAAAAATCTAGATAAAAACTCGCTTTTATTTCTTTTAAATTCAGAAAACCCCTTCATTATTTTTCAATTTTTAAAATCTCCGAAATTTATTTTTCTATTAAAAAAGATGCGTGAAAAAATCCTAAAACTTTATGAATGTCAAATGAGCAAGAAAATCAAGATTAAGATTTTTTGCCAACCCTTTTTAATTTCTATATAAATTTAGGCATGTTATATATGTTATAGTTATATCAAAAACAAATTTGCAATTATATTACTAGATAATGGGATTAAAGTTATAATCGAGTTTTTTCCCCTTTTACTGATGCTAAATGATTAGGTCTAAATTAAAAATTAGTTCAAATATTGAATCTAATAATAATAACTAAGTTAATAATTAATAATTTTGGGGGGGAACATTAAAAATTTTTTTTTTAAATATTGGTCATCTTATATCCATTTGAAAATTGAAAATTATTATTTCTAATATATTATGAGCTCCAATTTTTCAAATATCTATTTTCTATTATTCTCATACTACTTTTATAATAATTTCTTCAACAATAGGGCTGGGTAATAATAAAAATTCGTGAAAAATGTATAAAAAACGTATAGATGGTACTGTATACGAATTTCAATGCAATCGAATATTTTTTTCATCTTTTAAAATTATTTTAAAGGATTATAATTGATATACAAGTAATATCATGCATATTGAAGATTTTTTTAAAAAATTTATTTATTCTTAAGGCCCGGTTTGAATTTTTTGATTTTTAACTCTTTTAAAGATTATTAATAATCATTTCAATTAATAAGTATAAGTAACTATTGCTAAATTTTTTTGTATAATGCTCCTTGATGATGTTAGCTTCCAGTTAGCATATAAAAGTATTCTCAGTTATAGAATTTATTCTCCCTCCTTTTAGATAAAATTTTATAGGAGAGAATTTTGAAAATAAATTAATTAATAATTAGTGAACGTTACTCCAAAAGAGTAGCAAGTTTCTCGTTATGTTTGAAAAAAGGAACGCGTTACCGTTACCTTGTGAAAAAATAAACGCATTACTAGTTATTCAAAAAAGTAAAGCGTTACTTTATTTAAAAAACTAAATATTATATATATATAATTTTATTTATGAGAATTTTCACAACATTAAAAAATACATATAAAAGTATAAATTATAAACTAAAAAAGCATATCTATTATGTAAGAAAAAATTTATATATTATTTTAAATAAAATTATCTAATGGGCAGGCATAAGTTTACATTTGATCGGCATATTTATAATCCAATTTTTGTCTGATAGAGAAACTTTCCACAGCTATCCCAGTATTTGGGAAATTTTCCTATAAAATATTTTTAGAAATTTCAGGAATGCATTACCAAGATTGATAATAACTAACGGGATAAAATTATAGTTTGATAGAAAGGTGTATTTTCATATTTTGTTAGATTAAATTCTGCGTTTGAATACGTCGATACATGAATAGTCTCGTGGAAGGGCTGACCAAGTTGCTAAGGGCTGAGAGGCATTCTATTTATTTTTCCCCCATAGCTAATAAAAATAATATATTGTAAGAGTTAGTGTTGTTAAACAGCTCGTTTTGAGCCGATTTTTAAAAACGGCTAACACAATATTTTATCCAGAAAAATATTACGTAAGCCTGAAAATTGTTCATAGAAGGAGCAAAGGTCTAGAAGTATAGTATCTGGTGAAAATATTGAGTTATCCGCTTTTAAAAATCGGCTCAAAACGAGCCGTTTAACAACATTAGTAAGAATTTTTTTGTAATTTTTAACAATTGATTTTCAAATGATCAGATAAACAAGAACACGATTGCTCAACATAGTTTTCACTGTGCTAAACACACGTTCAACTGGTGCAGAGGATGGGTGGGCTGTATTACATTTAATAAATAAAATTTTAATTTGAGGGAATTTATTACAAATATTTAAAGAATTATCATAATTTTCAAAAAAACTTATTAGATTATCTTCATTCAGATCCTCATTGATATTTTCTTACCTTTATCAGAATTTAATCTGAATTTGTATGTTTTTAGATTTGAGCTGCTCTGCTAGACATTGAGGTTATATAATTGGAATTCAAATTTTCTAAACAAAAATAGTAAGGATAGATTTTTTGAAATAAAAAGAAAAATAATTTTTATCGGAAGAAATAAGTTTGTCATATATTATTCATAAAATAAATTTAAATATAAGATAACATAAATTCATACCTTGATTGATTCAATTAATTAGATTAACAAAATTGAATATAAAATTCAACCACAAAAATGGAATAAATAAAATAAGAAAAATTTTATAACGAGTAACGTTTTGCGTTAGAGATACTCAAAAAAAACGCATTATTTGTTTTTTTTGAAACAAATGGATTTCCTTTCCTAAAAAAATGTAACATCGTTAGTAATGAAGTTACTTTACAGTACTAATAATTATATATGTCTCAATAATAGCTTTGTGAAATAGCGACAAAATTTTTTAAAAAATGTCCTTCTTTATATAATAATAAGTTTGTATGCGAAAAGATTCGAATGGGATTTAAAGGTTCAAGATGAACCGACATTATTATTCCTCCTAGGTAATTTCCTTCCATTAAAAATAGCAATAAAAATACTTTTGCCAACTCTTTACTTAATTCTGATATAATAATATAGCAAAAATCAAAATGAAACGTGAGACTACTAATAAACTACGAAAAAAAAGAAATTATTTTGTTTCTAAGTTTTATCATAAAATTAATATGATGCCGTATTTTAAATAAATGTGCGAAATTTTTTTTAAAAAAATACAACCTTCACAAACATATGAAAAAATATATTAATAATATATTCGTGGTGGTTTTATTTTATATGATCAACTCCTTTAAAAGATTATAAAGGTTGAAAGGTTGTTTTATATTTGCACTACCGTGACCGAAAGGGTTAAACTAAAGATTAAAGACCGCTTTCAGAGATCGTTGCTATATATCTCCTGAAAAAAATATATACGCAAAAATTTGTAAATTGCTTTACCTTCGATAGGTGTTGATTGAGATTGGAAAGTCGTGTTCTCTTGCGAATCTTCACTACTCATTGTTTTTTCTTGAGTCGAAGAGGTGCTACCGAGAACATTTTTCGTTTTAAAACGCCTCAATATTTTTTTTAACGAATGCAATATAAATCAAAGGAAGGAAGGAACAAAAAATATTGATGCCAAACTTAATCAAGATTTTTTAAATTTAACGGGTTCTTTATACGGATCTTTAGATAAGGCTTTTATTTTAATTTTTAAAAAAGTGCTTATGCTTATATTGATAGGAACAATGTATAGATAGGACAAGGTCAGCCAATTCCGAATTATAGAATATAATGAATGTCCATGGGCATCCATAGGCCGTGAAAAAACTAAGGGACTACTAACTCACATAATTGTCTCGCAACTGGGATAAACATATCTCCTGCCTATTCCATGCTTAAAAGATAATTTTACCATACAACAAAATTCTTAGCAGCTAGGAATGACGATATAAAAATAATTAAAGAATTAGTTATATTTCAATTATTGTATTTAACTTGTTGCTACGTATCTCGCGGGCACTATCTTCACTTTCCATGTAGGGATTTTCCAGATTAATGACATCTATGCTGTTTCCTCCTATTCTCTCTGACAACTGGGAAGAAGAAGCTATGTTTTCAATCAAGTCATCTTCACTGTATACGGGGGTAAATATTTTATCAATAGACCTGACCTTAGATGAATCCTGGGAGAGCGAAAAAAATTGGCAAAGTTCTGGTCGAGTAATCTTCTTCTGTATAAGAATATTTTTTAAGGATCAATTTTAGATATATTTAATCTCTCGTGCAGCACTGATAATAAATAATTAACGGCCTTTAAAATCGTTTTGATATTTAACAAAAAATCTTTTAAATATCTTATAAAATAAATAATAAATACTTTTTTTAAGATAAACGTTGTGCAAAAAATTTTTCAAAAAATATATTATTAACCAATATGCTTTAGTCAAAACTAGGACTGCCCTTACATTTTTTTAATTAATATTTTTCAAGATCCGATACCTAGTTTTTAATAGATTTAAAACTTTTAAATAATAAATTTATTACTTATTTAAAAGGGGTAAGGTCAAGAAATTATAAAATAAATTTATTTCATCATTAATCTATAAAAAAATTAATTAATAATAATCTAATCATTTTTATTTTTTTAAATAAAATAATTTAAAAGATGCCATTCTTGTGCTTCCCTTTTCCAAACTGATATTTTTCCTAAAAAAAGTAAGTAATAACAAATCAAAAGAAAATTTGAAATATAATTTATATTTAACTTATTAAACTTCATAAATAAACTTATATTATACATTTTTTAAATAAAATAAAAATTAATTGATTCAAATAAAATATGGTTGGTTTTATTTTATAAAATATCGGTGCTAAGTATATGCCCGGAAGCATAGGAGTATTAACATAGGGATAAAAAGTTGTATCAGTGGATTCTTATATGTAGTTTATAACGAATAAACAAATGTTTAAATGAAAATTAAATGCAATGCTAAAATGTTTAAAGCAATGTTCTATACAGAGTAGGCCTATTCAAAAACAAATTGAACAATTCGAATATTCGATGTTATTTGAATAAATTGTTCCTTCGGTAAATTATTCGAATATTAAAATATTCGGAATAATTATTAATGTTCTTTAATAAAATTTAATAATTTGTCATTTATATTGATATACTTTCAAGAAAGTATACTTCATCTCCTGTTAAAGTCTTTTCTTAGTTGAATTTGCTTCCAAAAAATTTCATGTTTTTATAAAGAATAACAATAAGAAAAGCTCTAATTTATAAATTGGTTCAGCATTATAAATTAAATCACATAATAATAATTTTTTCTGCTTAAATGTGCGAAAAATTTTTTATCTGTCAATATTTTCATGTGAATTATTTTATATTTCTAAAAAATAAATTATTCGAATCGAATACAAATAGCAAATTTTATTATTTGTACCAATACGAATATTAAACAAATCGAATATGAATAATGCACTATTCAATTAGTATTTAAATATGCCGAATATAAAGCATAGATTGTGAATTGTTGTTGGTCCAAGTCATCATTACGTCATAAAAATATTTTACCCTAGGAGGAGAGAATGCGTAACCTTTTGGCAAATATATTTTGGAGTTCGGAGTTTCCTGAAATATAATTTTTTTAAAGATACATAAAAATTAACTCATTAAAGGAGAAGAATAATTAAATATAATAATATTTCCCTCGTGCAAAATTTTCCAGGGTCAAATATAAGAAATTAGTAAGAGGCGTAAGGTTACCCTTATTGGCGTTTTCCAATTTTAATTGTCAGCCTTAAAAAAAACACTCAGATCTAATAATTGGTTAAAAATAAAATTGACCATACCAAATCGGGTTTAGTGAATAGTTTTGAAGGTAGGATAGGCTTCGCGGGAAAATCTTTGAGTACAAATGTAGAACTACGAGTCCAAATTAGGCCCAAAGCTATATCGCACACAGCGTACAGTTTCTGAAAGAGAATAAAAAAATGTAATAATGGTTTTATCTTTATTTTGTTTGAGTTGATGAAAAAAATTTATATATTGAATGGAAGTGGAACTAGCTAATTAATTATGTTATAACTTTTAACTTAAAATGATAGTTATGTTGTAATTAAATGTGTAGATCAAAAAATACAATAATACATATCGCTGCCTGATTATTACAGTTTCTATATATACTCAGATCAATTTTTCAGGAGTGACTTTAAAAAACACCATACTCTCTGACAAAAACTATAAGATATTTAGACAAAAAAAAATTTTTTAAATATTAGATATACTTAAACTATGACAAATCCATTTTTTAGAAGTTTTTTGCACTTTACGTTTGACGCATTCTGGATCAATAATTCGTCTATAACTCTCTAATAATAATTAATTATAATACTTATGGGATATATTTTTGACAAAATAATAGCGTTTGACGGTAATTCAATAGAAAATTAGCCAATTTCGATATTAAATATTGGATCAGATCGGCCGTTATTTTTGATCCAATATTTTTTATTGTTTTTGGTTATTTTATGATATTTTATTATGAATAATTTCATAATAATAGTTTAAAATTTTACACTATTTTTTGTTATATTATCTGCAACAAGAAAATGATTTTAATATATCTAACGAATCACATTCAGTTTGTGTTGCTAAACGGCTTGATTTACCCAATTTAAAAAACAGTTAACTCAAGATTTTGGCCAAAAGTAAATTACTCTAGCTTATTCATTTTGCCTACCGATGGTAAAAAGGTATGGACTTCCATTGACGAAATTTCAAGGATTAGGTAATAATATTTTGGCTAAAATTTTGATTTAGCCCTTTTAAAAAATCGGTGAAAAGGAGCTGTTTAACAACACTACATTCACCCAATAAACATTGCAAATATTTTAAATGAGATTATTAGCTTTTGGAGAATAAAAATAAATAAAATTCGTGAAAATTATTTGCTTTTTTTTAAATAAAATATTGATATATTTATATATAACATTGATACAAAGATAGATGGCAAATAAAAATCAATATAAATATCGGATCGGTGAAAAATTTGTGGATCGACACAGCCCTAGTTATGGGTAAAATGAAAAGGGGCATTGTGGTAACACAATAAATTGATAAGGAGATAAATTCAGACAAAGAGAGAATAATAAATTAAAATGAGTGAAATGTATGTGGGTGAATTATGAATTCTTGAGGTAGCCTGCAGTTATAATAACCTAGGATAAATAAAATATTTATAAGGAGGTAAATATTAGGCGAAGAAAGGACAAAGAAGTGTTATGGGATTTTTCTAAAGAGAGTAAAGCGCATGATAAAATTCAATATTTACAATGATATGAAGTATAGTTAAAAGGAGAGTACGGGATTAGAGTAGGTAAAAATGAAGAAATAGGTCTGTTTGAGTAATGTTGGAGATAAACAAAAAGTTTTCAATTTTAAAAACAAAATTTTTATGAAAATATAAAATAAAATTTGTTTCTTATTTTTGTTTTATTAGCCTTTCTAAATATTTATTAAATTTGATATTATTTTAAACATTCATTAATTTATATAAAAGATGTAGATAAAGGCCATTCTTTTTATCTACTCTCTTTATTCGCTAAAATTTATTTCTCCTAATATCTTAGGTACTATAAACTGGCAAAATTCATAATCGCTACTTTTTGATGTTTTTTAAAAACTAAATATTTTTATTACGTGTTAAAATGATTTTGATTAAGAGAGTTAATTATTGGGCCTAACATGTATTACATAAAGAATAATTTTTAGGAGTTTTTGAACCTAAAATGGCGAAGGGGATCCATAAAAATAATATTTTGGCCTTTCAATTTCGACTAAAAGTAGAAATAGAACCGTATAATATTCAGGCAGCAATATAAATAAATATAGACATAAGTTTGTTTTTTTTATATTTAAGAATATAGATTCTATAATTTGTTTCAGTCATATTAAAATTAAATACTATAAATTAGCCGACAGGACTGGCCTGTCAGTCTAGAGACGGTGGTAACATATTCAATAAAATATAGGCCCTGTTGTGGCCCAAAAAAATATAATAGTTATATTTCCTTCCTGTTCATACTTTTATTTACCTGTGAATATCACAATTAAAAATAAGGAAATCAGGGGGTGGGAAATATTTACTATCCATTTTTTTATATTTTAAATAGAATAAGGAGGAAGTATTTAAATTATCAAAGTTATGAAAATATTTAAATAATGCATAACATTAATATAGTAAATAAAAAAAATATTATTAGTTTGAGATGGCTTCCCTATAAGCCTTTTAAAAAATTAGGGTAACAGGTGGGCAAAAAATTTCGATTTTGCATGTCATTATATAAAATAGGTGAAAATTTAAATCAACAATATTTATTTATATTATATAAATAAATCTATGCAGGCCATTGAAGTCTAAAAATATTGAACTAATTATAAATTTAATGTAAAAAAGTAAAACAGTTTTCACAGTCATTTAACAGATCTTAGTAGTAGTGTTGTTAAACGGCTCGTTTTGAGCCGATTTTTGAAAACGGCTAACTCATTATTTCATCCAGAATAGTATTAGGCAAGCCTTGAATATTTTATTTTAGAAGGAACAAAGGTTTGGACATCTATTAGCGAAATCTCGAGGCTTAACTAATATTTTTCTGGCTAAAATATTGAGTTAACCATTTTTAAAAATCGGCTCAAAACGAGCCGTTTAACAACACTACATACATTATATAAACATATAAATTACGTGCGATGATTCTGGACTTTGGGCGTCCTTGGTCTGTTTAATGTTTTCAATGAGTCGTTTGAAAAAACTGAAACTGTAATTCTCGTTTTTGTGTATAAGGGGTTCTATAAGGAACCAAAAAGCGCTTTGAGAAGATAAGTATTTATAAAAATTCGATTTTAGGATTATAAATCCTTTTAAATAAGCCATATAAATCTTGATTTTTTGTCTATATTCTTAATGTATTCGGATACATGGGTAATAATCTGATTACGTTTTATTTTATAAAACTTTTTAGATTTAAAAAGAGCCATTGAAAACTTTTTTTAACTCATATTTTTTTGAAAAATAACTTAATACTTTTTTTATTGGATCGATAATCTTGGAACTTACTAGTAAATTTATAACCTTATATAAATTCAATTCTTTGCTCCATTCCTTCAATAAATCATTTCAAGGACGAATGAGAACAGTTGGATATGTTCAACATTCTCTAACCATTAAAGGTTTGAAGTTAATAGGGGGCCTATCAACACCTCCGAGATTTTAAATTTATTTTAAAAAAATATGTTGATATTTTAACCTGGTTTATTTAGAAACCTACCATTTTATGGTATACTATGTTTCTGCAAAATTTTAGGCATTTTTATAATGATGATTTTAAGGATATAAACATTTGGAGGCAAAAAAGCCAATTTTTATTTTTGTTATTATTTTAAATATTAAGAAACATAAGTTTACATGATTATTGCATGTTTTAAATAGATTTTTATATTAAAAATAAGAAACATAATATTTATGGCCATTTTGCTTAATTTTTGAGACTCTTTACAAAAATTCTTATTTAATATTAAATATTCGAATTTTGCCAATTTATAATTAATTTAAGGTTAACTTATCAAATTTATAAAATGAATTTTAAAATGGGGGTAGGGGGGGGGGTGAGTTATGGCTCACCTAATCACTCGCGTTATATTCTTTTCTACCTTGGCATTCAAGGGTTAAAAACTTTTTAACTTCATCTAAACTGGTGAATCTCCTTTTTAGTTTTGCGCTATTATAAATAAATATATATTACGGCAAAATAAAAGGAGTTCCTACCTATAAAAAATAGACATCAAATACTCCGGTATTTTATTTGTACTGTTGTTTGACGTAAAATTTTTTTCGTGAATTCGATATTATGTTATAAAGTAATTGCGCCCAAAGCTGTTATATATATAATAAATACTCTTTAATTTCCTCGAGCAATTTAAGGTTTTCAATATCGTGAAAAGCCGGATGGTGAGCTAACAAGTGAACAGCGTAAGGTAGGACGTAGTCGGGAAGAATTGAATATATTTTAGCTTTTAATATATTATACACATATATTTAGAAGAGAAACACATAATAAACGAGCATATAAGATGAGAAAATTTAGTTCCAATCAAAGTTGGTAATTAAACTAATAAAGCTTAGTCATACAGTAATAAAAGGAGAATTATTTGAAACAAAAACTATTATATTAAAATTGGAAGATAAATATATAATGATTAAAATTGTTAGTGTGTTTTAATATAAATATATAATATTAAAATAAATATAACACTAATCTTAAACCAAAAATAGAAATAAGAATATTAAAGGCAAAATCATATTCATATCATGTTTTATAATAAATAGAATAAAATAGAAAGACGTTGTTGTTAATATTTAATGCATAACATTAAAATAAAGAATAAAATAAATATTATGAGTTCGAGATATATTTCGTGGCTTTTATTGAAGTTTTGAGGATGTGTTTTTTGCTAAAACTAAGAAAATTGACTTACAAGTTTAAAATCATCATTCTTGCTAAACCTATTAACAAAACTGAAAGAAAATTTGGGTTAAGGATTAAAACTAATTTTTATTATTAATGATTATTTTTAAATAATTATAATTGGAACATGTTTTTTGATGCCCTTATATTCCAAATAAAGCAAATATAGTCAATTTATAAGTCAAATAATTACTATTGCTCCAGATGGCATTTTTTTAACATTATAAAAACATATTAACCTAATTTTATTATCAATTAAATTACAAATATCAGAAAAATATTAATTAAGTAAAGTTTTAATACTAAAATTGAGACACATAAGTAAAGTATATTAACATAAAAAAAATATGAATTTATGTTAAAAAAAGGAAATTCGAATTTTTACTTATACATACATAATCATAACGTATATCCATTTATAAAACTAATTCTATTTTTTTAAAAATATCAAATGTACTCCAATAGTCGAGCAACGATTTCCTAATTCTATTTATAAATAGTCGGGTTATGGGCCAGGCAAAGACCTTAATTTTTCCATTACCGGGAGGGGGAGAGCAATCCTAAAAGAGTGATTTGCAGGTTTATTAGTTCAATGTAAGGGCGAAACAAATAGAAAAAGAGAAAATCATGTGCTTTAATTGAAAAAAAGTTTAGCCCTGGTTTAGTGAGAGAAATACATTGTCACATATCTCATGATTATTTATGGGATGAGATTTGGTGTGAACTCTTAAATATATTTTATAAAATCAAAATATTTTGTTTTTCTTTCTTAAAAGAAATTCAAAATTACCACTAGCGTGATTTGGGTTGGTCCTAAGGATTTCTCTTCTTTTGGAGATATTAACAGCTAGATACTGTTTGCAGCGTAGTTTGAATTCTTTGTTGGTGTCATTGTGAACGAGACAAAATATAGCCAAGTATTCCAGTGGTAGCTTCATTGATAGCAGCGCCTTATGGATCTTGTAGATAAATTTTTGCTTAAATTCCAAGTCTTTTATTTCCTTTGCAGATAAAACAATGATAAAATTGTGCATTTTGTGTGAATTTTCCCCACCATCACTTCTCGTGATTTCGTGCAATGGCATCAGAAGCCTTTATAATCTCATTGGGAACAAAAAAAATTTTTTAGCTAATATTTTCAAAATGGCTTTCGTTTTTTATAGGTATATTTAAATTTTTTTAGAGCTCTTCAAATTTTTCAGGGGACTGGAGCCCATGTGCTCTCCCTAGTGAGCTATTGTGGCGATGCGGATGGCTCAGGCCCCCTAAAGAGTTTGGAGAGCCTCATTAAAAATATATTATGGGATTTCACACAATTTTTTTGCAAAGCATATTTATCATATTTATTTTATTTGTTAAATTTTTTGCTAATTATTTAAGATTTTAGAATTTCCAAGTTGAAAATACTAGCGAAGTCACTTATGATTTATCCAAAGCGAGTCGCCCAATCGTTTCAGTGATGGCGGAGTGAAAAGATTAATCAACATGGAATTTAATGGAAGTTCGAATGATCATAAAAATATTTAACTTAAATTGTTAATGCAAAATAAATTTATGGTATGTTTCAAAAATTATTCAATAATTGTAAAAATAAAAAATTAGCAATAATATTGCTTATACTTTTTTATAAGGATCATAACCCCCGTGTATATTAATGGTGTTATATTTAATTTATTACATTTATTAATAAATTATCTTATTCAACACCGTATGTGCTACTATCTTTCGAAAAAAGGTAGCGCGCTACTGCTATCTTTTTAAAAAATGGTAACGGCCGGCAGATATTTCTCTTTAATAAGTAGCACGCTAAAAGTTACTATTATTAAAAAAAATTTAAATAATAGTCAGCAAAGGCATGCACTACCATATCAATTTCCAACATTACAGGAAACGTGAGAGCATTTATAAATGTCATATTTTCAATAGAGAAAGACTTATTTAACTATATTATATTAATATTCTTAGAAAACCTGCTTTTATACCTGAAGATTTAGAAAATCGAAATATATCATCAGCCATCATAGATGATGAAAAGATTTTAAAAAATTAAAATTGTTAAAGTTTTTGGTCAATTCAGGACATTTTAACAAAGTTGCCATAAATACCTAAAAGTTTCAATTCCAATATAAGACATATAAAAACAAATTTCTAAAGAAAATTAAGACATAATTTGCATTGTCCACTAATGGTCAGTTTGCTTATATCATGTTTCTTTTTTTTTAAGTTTAGCATCTAAAATAAAATTATTCTTAAACCCAGGCAATTCCTATTCCTTAGGCAGATATATTGTTAGTGTTATGAATCATCCAACCATTAAATTTTAAACTCGTTGTATCTAACAATATTAAGCCTCTGTTTAATCCTTTCTATATTCTAAGCGGAAAAACTGATAAAATTATTAAGACCTGGATTATCAATTTTTTTGTTCTACATTTGATTGAGTATAATATAATACATGTTAATCCATCTAAATAGTCAATTCAATCATATTTTAATTATATTATACAATATTGGACCATTATATTAATTTTAATTACTCATTGTCGGCATTGCTTGGTTCAGACTTAAGACACATATTAGATTTAATATATAAATGTATTTTCTTGTTATACAATTTTGTTGCGGACCTCATCGTCTGATACTACATCCAACAACTCATTCCTTTAATAGTTAATTTTGCTATCATATCAATTCTCGTGTGATTGGATAAGTAAATGCTGAGGCATGGCACTGAAATAAATTGATGTAGAAAGCAGAATGGTGTTAAAATAGGTAATACCCTACCAATAAATATATAAATATTTGTGGAGATATATATATTTGTTGATTATATTTGATTGCTAAATAAGAGGGATTTTTCTGGAACTAGTACTGCAAAAGAAAAATCAACTTCCAAAGATAAAGTATTTTCAACAGATTTTGTGTTCAGGTGGAAGTGGGTCGACGATGTAGTATTAGGTGGTGAAATCTGCATCACAAATTAGCATGATTACAGTAGTCCCATTTATAGCATCTAATGTAAATAAGCCCTGACAATGGATGTTGACAAAGGTCGAAAAAAGTTAAATAATGGTGATCTGAATGTATCGTGAAATATAGTTAAATGATTGATGTAATGGGCAATTTAAATAAAAGTAATATATAATATTACTGAATCAAAAGAAGAACACAAAAATGGATAATCTGGATATTTAATCATTTTACTAATTTTTCCGCAGACATAGCCTGGTTTGAGTTTAGGAAAGAGACAGGTCATCTTAGTAAGAGATATAATTGTATTAAATCAGGGATAATATTTTGACTGATTAATTTCGTATAAGTGAATTTAAACCATATAAAAAATGTGAATCGTGACACGATAAAGTTGAAATTTTAATATTTAAAATTTACTTTAGTAGTTATAGGTAAAAATTAAAGAAAAAATGTATTAAAACATATTTCATTAGAAATACAGTGTTGTGCAGATTTGATGGAAAACATTTTCATATTTTTTAATTTTTGCAAATATAATTATTTAACTTGCAAAAATTGTCAAGAATATAAATGTTATTTTAACAAATTTTGTATAAATTTATTTGAAAATAAATTTAAATATGGAAATGTTTTCCATCAAATCTGCACGAGACTTAAGTGGATTAATTTTCTAAAAATATGCTAAAAAAACAGAAAGAGATAAGAGACCAATAGATATGGCTATATTTTAAATAGTTATAAAAATAAATATCTTGAAATCCAATAAAGATTGTATTTAGAGGAAAAAACAAAGTATTCTATTTTTTTTATTTCGTGTTTATTATATGTTTATGAAATGGGGAAAGTTATTATATAAAAATGAAAAAATTGCGTTCATTCCTTCTTTCTCCTGCTTTCTTTCCCCGAAAAATGAAAACTTAAATAAATTAACGAATATACTAATATATATTATTTTTATTTTTTACGATTATAAGATAGGCCAAAGTTTGAAAGTGTTGTAACGAAAGAGCATCCCAATATACCGGTATTTGTACTAGTCTCAGCACGGCGCAAGCACATTTAAGCTTGAGTAAGATAAACCTATTTACAAAATATATTTTTTTTAAAAATAGCAGTAAATAATATCATTTCTTAGCAGAGATCTGAACCGAGCCTAAAACCTTAGCCGAACCTGGACATTTAAAAATTTGGCACCTGAACCTCTAAAAAGGCGTGTGAACAGGTTTAAGCCTTTTAATTAGTAACTGTTTTTAAATATCGATAAATTTAAATATCAGTAACTGTGCCAGCTACCCAAGTTAGCATATAGATGTGTTCTCAAGTATAGAATTTATTCTTTTTTCCCATAGGCAGAGAATTTATAAAATATTTTTATTGTATACAGCTCAATAAGGTCTTGCAAGCCGACCCGCTAGCTCACCCCAGACTGGCACAGCCAGGATTATGGTTTGAAAAATATTATAAATAGATTTCCTTATTATTTTTTCTTTTTTTGCATATTTTGTAATAAATAAACTAGTGTTGTTAAAAAGCCCGATTGGGTCAATTTTTGAAAACGGCCCCAATTAAGATTTTACTAAAATAAAATTATGTAAACATCGAGATTTGGCAAATAGATGTCCAAACTTTTCTGCCAGCTATGAGCAGAATCTTTAGTCTTACATGTTATTTTGGTTTTAATCTTAATAGGGCCCTTTTTTTAAATCGACCCGAACAAAACTAAACATTCATTAAATTATCAGTGAATATTTAAATTTACTGCATAATATTTAAAAAAGAATAAAATAAAAATTTTGAAATATTTTCAAAAATTAAAGCCATTACATTATTTGCTTGCTTTTAAAAAAATAACCAGCAATACACATCGCATCACTTGAGTGATACATGCTTACTATAAATTAAGGCCTAAAGTTATATTTTTGCTGTCAAAAGTAGCAGGTTACTTTTTAAAATATTTATTTATATATCTTAATAAATATATTCAAATTATTATATTTAATAAATATGTTATAATTAGTTCTGTAAAGTAACGTCGTTATGACGGTTGTTACCTTTTTTGTAAAATAGGAACGCTATTCGTTACCTTCTAGAGGTAATTAGTAACGGTAACGCGTTTCTTTGTGTAAAGGTAACGTAAAACGCTACTAGTTACTTCAAATTTTTCTTAAAAAATATAGAAAAAATCATATTTTATTGTTATAGAATTACTTTTATTTATTTTTTAAAATTTTATAAATAATTTAAGCCGTTTTTTTAATTTACATCAACCACCAAACTTCTTCATTTTTATTTTAAATTTTCAGTCAAGATTATTAATATAATTAATATTGTATGTAAGTTTACATTCTTATATAATAATTTATTTTATAAAGAATATTATGTCAATTGTACATTTTCTTCAGATGAAGCTGAGTAAAACCTGCCTTGGTTTTAATATAAAACATTTTTTTACACCAATGAAGAAAAAAAACTAAGGGTACAGAACTTAAACTTTGTAAGTGTAAATTGTGTCCCAACTCAGATATTTTAACCGTACAGATATACTTTGTAAGTGTATATTGTATCCCAACTCAGATATTTTAACCTCAATTGTGGAATAAACATGGGCATCCTCTAAACTGTGCAGCCATTTTTAAAGAAAAAATGGGATATCTGATTAAATTGATCACAACAAGATGGAACTCTTAATATAACTCTGAAATTAATCTAGTCTTATTAAGGAGAATGACCACAAATTTGACGAATCTTGTGATAAATCTAAATTAGAGATTTTCAGATAATGACAAATCATTCATAGATGAATATGCTATATATGATTTTATATGTTATGAAACATGTTCATATGGCTCTTTCGATTTTAGAGAGAGAAGAAAATATGCATTTGGGAAATCTCACTCCCAAATAATTATTATAATATGAAAAAATGGCTTTAAATAATTTTATTTTGCAAGCTACTTATTAATGCAATTCTGCAAGACAAATATAAAAGGTATAGAGTTGAAGTATTGTTCACAGTTTATATATTGATAATATTTTATTTTTGTATTAATTTATTTATAACATATATATATATATATATTAAAAAAAATTATTATAAAAAGATATCTTATATATTATTTATTGCATAATTTTATTTATATATAGGGGGGAAAATTATTTTTTGTATATATTATTAAATTTTTTAAGTAACGAGTAACCAGTTACTTTTTTGAATAGCAGTAATGCGCAGGTAACACGTTTCTTGTTGCGCTAGTTATAATAAATTAATTTTAAATGTCTAATTCTGTATGTGCGCCTTTTTTATATTTAATATTGAATTGATAGTTGATCAGAGCAATGAATCAGTCAGGCAGATACAGATTATAATATGAATTCCGACTCTGAGATGAGAGTTCAGATTGATGAAATAAAAACTGTGCCACCCCTTTCTACAACTATTACCAAAGATACAGACTTAAATGTAAAAATACATTGGTCAAGTATCGAAAATATTTTGGATTTTACAAGAAAGGTGATAGTACAGCAATATTAGTGTTATGTCTTCCAAAAAATGTATATTTCAGCAGCTAAATCATCCACAGCTAATCTATAGAAACACATCTCTAAGTATATTTTCACATAACGTCAAATAATTTACCAAGTTTTAGTTAGATGTACATATAACAAGATTTTTTTTGCGTAAATTATAAAGAATTATTAAACTAATTTTTTTATGAATAAATTATATCAATTAAATATTCCTATATAAAAAAAAATATTTTTACAGAACATATATCATAACCAATTCTTAAAAATAAAGAAAACTATAGATATTAAGAAAATAATTCAGAGATCAAATAAATTAAACTAAAAATTAACTTCCTGTGATGTTGAAGTTTTTATTGAGCTAATAAATACTCTGCAACCTAATATGAAGATAATGTTAGGTAGACAAACCTCAACTATAAGAATATCTAAGCATGTTATTCAAATGAAGAATATTTTAAGAGAAAGATAATCAGGGCCCAATTTTGTTTGCACACTACTTCTGGGTTAACTTATTGTGATTTAGTGTCTTTTATTTTTCTATCATATATTAAATTTAATGGCAAGACAAAATGCTAACAAAATCTTTTTAAAGAATGCTGATTATAAGAAAGCATATAACATTGCCATGTCAAAATGCCAACGTTTGTGGAAGTTGGAAAATAAATCTGGGCCATCATCTGGACTAAAAGAGATTAAATTGTCAACTACCATATCCCGTATAACAAGGTTGTGTAAAATTTTGTTGTTGATAATGAACATATATAGAAAATTTCATACAATCCAGTTATAACAACATTCTTTTATATGTTAATTTCCCAAATTTAAAATTACTTTTTATTAAATTCTAGGGAAGTTTATTTATGGAGAAAAACGAATGGGTTTTTTAGAAAATTTATTAACCCCGATTTTTTAAAATTGTAAATATATGATATTATAATATTTCATCTCAGTTTAAATATATTCTATTTCGTGGTATTTTTTTCAGTGTAATTATTTTTATATTAAATTTAAAAAAAGGATGCGTTATATAAATGATTTATAAAGTAACTAATAATGTGACTAGTTAATTTTGATATAACTGTAACTAGTTATTTTTTTAAGAATGTAAAATTACGTTTCAAAAGTAACCTTTAACAATACTTCATTTTATAGATTTGTAATTTTTTTTATTAGAAAAATATTTTATCTATATGTGATATTTTTAGTAGAAAATAATATTTTTAAGGTTTAAAAATTAATATATGGGAGGAAATAGAATATTATTAAGAAACGAGAAAGTAAGATCATCATCAACATTGAGTATTAGTAATTTAGTTTTTTATACTCCTTAAAGGTGAGACTTTTGAAAATGGCAGAATGCCTCAATTTGAAGGATTCGTAATCAGATTCTAAGCATGTGAAGAGGAACGCGTAAAAAGATTTAGCTTGACACACCAGTTCAGCTTTATCGTATTTGGTTGTTCGAGCTTCGTCTCCTATGGATATGTAAAGGAAAAAAATTAGGATATATTATAAAAATATTTATTGATAGAAAGTGAATGCAAGGGTTTATATGAGTTTATACAGAAGAAATTATATTAAAATAAAACAGTGAAATATTTCTATTATCCCAGGATCTATATTTATTTAGGGGAAAATAAATCTAGTAGCTTAAAAGTAATCGAGATGAATTTATTTTAAAGTGATAATGAATTTAAAGAAATTGTGAAATTTGTTGGTGGTCATATTAAAGATATATTTTATAATAAATATAAAAAAATAAAACATCGAATCAAAAAAGACTTTAAGATACAAAAAACCTTATTTTGCATAAACAAATTTGAAATTTTTTTTATTATCCTTTGTTATCAATTGTATTAAATAAAATATCGTTTCCAAAATGCAAAAATTTGATTGAAAGTATTTACTCTTGCAAAGAAGCCATATGCCGGACAGAGTTTTGCATTCCAACTTTATCCTCAGAATTCCAGCCTGACAAATAGCCGAAGCCTTTCTCCAGTCTTCCACAACACTCTCCACTCCCTGATTGGATGAGTCGGAGTCACGTGATAATTTGGCAGCCGTTTTTAGAGATATTGTTGTATTTATCATTGACTATTATATATTAAAAAAAGATCAACCATTTGTATGTTAATACCGCAACAATAGCTCTAATTTTATATTACAATTTTTTCGAGTGCACAACTGGGTCACCAGAAATAGCAAAACTATTTTTTAAAAAGTAACTCAAAATATAACGAATAATTAGTGAATTCAGCCCAGTTTGGAACCAATATTCATGGAAATGAATATAAAGATCACGTTAAACCGTGAACCACATATAAAGACAGATGGACAATGCGACATATTTTTTGATTTCGAAATTCACGACAATTAAAGGGCATTGCCTGTTCTTTTTGGCAAGTGAGATTTTGAAATGGTTTAACCATTTAGATTTGTTAAACTTATATAAATATTTTATAGTTAAAACTTACATTGTATATTTAATGTCGTTGATGGCAAATAATATTTAGTAAGAGTGCATAGTAATATCGATAAAAACATACTAGTTTTGTGTATGATAAAAGTTGAATGGATTCAATGGACACTGAAACTTATTGATATTGTTTATATTTATTTGATAATTATAAAAAGGCAATATATTTTCTCATCAGTCCACACCAAACTGATCAAAAAATCGATTGCAAAACCTAGTCGAACTATGACCCCGATCCTAAATACCAAACCAATCACGATTCGGTCCAAGCCAACTTGAACTAATAACCTTCACTATTAATTGTTATTTTAATTAAAAATTTAACAAAACCCTCGTACAAATTGCAAAGCCCGGCACAGATTTGTAAAATTATAATAAAAAAAATTAAACCTGGAGCTATGAACCGAGACTGCAAGTCTCTGTTATATATTGCGACTAAGGGCCATTTCATATCAAATCATTTACAACTTAACCATCTTAGATTTTTATAAAATTTGGTATATAAGTTAATGACGTGTTGTTTTTGACGAATTAAAAATATTAGCCTCTTAACTATATTAGAAACGTAGATATAGGGCCTCAAAGTGGATCTGCTTGGTCATTTTTCGAAATCAGATGCACTATGTATATTTATTCGTCAAACAAAACACTTCATTAACTTATATATCAAATTTTAACAAAATCTGAGATGGCAGAGTTGTAAAGTGATTGATTTGATATGGTCCCCTAAATCTTTCTTGCCCAAATAAAACCTGACTGACCACTATTAATTATTATTTTAATAAAATATTCTACGAAATCTTGAAATATAAGCAAGATTATATTTTACTAATGTAAACAGTGGTCTGAATTTCGACTAAATCTTGCTTACCCAAATATAACCAGTAATGATATTAACTAACAGATGGTTTGTAATTGCTATATCGATATGCAAATAATACAATAAAATAAAATAGATAAATTGCTTGGGGCTAAAAAAACTTTGCTAAAATTAGGCAAGTTGTATTGCATTTGTAAATCATGTGTTACATGAGGAAAGAGTCGTTTAGCAACTTCAGGAACTATTTCAGAATTTATCCGTTCAACTAAATCTGGGCAGAGTAAAGATATTTGACCCAAGCCTGATAGGGAATTGAGGAAAGGCTCGGAATCCATAGGTTTTTTCAGATTATCAGTGTAATGCTTTAAAAATAAATTATAAAATTTTAAAAACTTTAAGATTTTATTTTTTGAATAGTTCAGACCTATATTTTTATAAAAATAATAAAATTATGAAACAAACTATTTTAGATCTTATTTTCCCGCCTCCTTTTAAAAAATAGGTTTTTTTGAAAAAAATTTACCTTAAACAAAGATTTTGTCAAATTGGATGGGTTTAGATTATGTTTGCCCTTATATTGATTCAATATCTCTTTGTGATTTATAATAGTGAACAAGCAAATGACTCCGTATTTGGTTTGTTTCGAGTTGGCCGTTTTGCATAACTTTTGGAGGCTAGGGAGAATGGTTCTTTCATAGAAATACAATTATATTTAAATCCCCAATTGATATATAATAATTGATGGAAAAATGATATATTAAAATTTAGCAATAACATTTAAACTCCTAAAAAATAGTTCTATATTTATGCCATCAAAGATTATTAATCAGAGATATTCTTTAATTTTTAATAAATTTCAATTGTAAAGCAATATTTTTAATTGCAAAATGATATTATTTAATTATAAATAGCGAATGATATTATTTAAGGCAACGACAATTCCAAATCAAATAGTTAGCCAAAAAAAATTTGGCAAAATATCTTTAAAAAATTCAATTCAATATTTACATCATAAAATGAAATTTCTCTATTAATATTTATTTAAAATTATATGAAAAATAAACAATTTTTTAAAAATTAATTTATTTTAAAATAACACAAAAGTATTTTAAAAAATGAAGTTAAAAAAAGCAAATAGTCTTTTTAAAAAGTTTCTAAAACTACATGGAACCTGTGTCGAAAACCTAATCAAAATATGCTAACATCAAAACCCATGAGAATTTTATTTAAGACTAGTAAGTTAAAAGAAAAGGCTTTAATTGCACAAAAAAAGCGTGATATAGATTCCTACCGAATATTATTAGTCAAACGCGTTACCTGCCATAACTGATGAGTTGGAGGGGGGATCCGAAATTCAATCCTGGATACGCCACTATATATTACATAGTCTTTCTAGCATATTCATTTTTATTTTATATAATTTGTGGCGAACTATTTATTTTAGTAAGTATAATCTATAACAGAAAATATAATATTGACTTACTCTACGATTATGTTCAAGGAATCCGTCTTGTCTGTTTCATTGACTTGATCGGTAATTTTGTTACTCTTATCCCCGTTACTAGTAGATAAAAAACTACTATTCTCCATATTCAATGAGTTATTAATGTTATGATGAGGGTTCCAATGTTTGACCACGTTCGTCAAAACTTGCAAAGAGCATTGAACTATGGCGTCGTCTTTGTGCTTTATGAATTGGCTGAGATGTTCCATTGTAGATTTCGTGTAGAAGCTGTCCACAAATACGCAACTCAATATCTGTGTTTTATTGCGTTTTTTTGAAAATAATGTTCATGTAATTTACAAGTTAGTAAAAAAACATATGTCTGGTTTAATTAACCGATAGAGGGGGAGGGAATAATAATCACTCAAAGGATTTGTAGACAAAATTATGGTTTTATTATAGTCGTATATTTTATGAAATAATGAAACAGTGTCTAATAAAATATTTTATTTATGTAAACTTAAAGTTTTCCAAAATATAATATAACATTAGTTTAGTTTTTGATACTTAAATTATTAACTCGAACGAGTTCTTAAATATATAAGTTTGGTGTACATAAAATATAGAAAATCTTTACGAGATCCAAATATTTGAAAGTTAAAAAAGATTAGATAATGATATTTCCATTTGAATGTGGTTTTATGAATTTTGTTATACTGAACGAACGTGTCCGACCGAAATTAAATACCGGACCTCCTTTTATAAAAACTAAAACTCAAGCCGAACCTGTTTTGTAAAAAATCTGGAAAACTAAGCAAACAAAAAACTTTTTTTTTTTCTCGTAAGCGATGGATTTTATTGATGTATTGGATAATCTTGGTACAACTTGTAGATTAGCGGATCAAAGGGTTTTTATTTAAAATGATAAAAAAAGAATTCAAATCTTTTGTCATGGAAATTAAAAAGATAATAGTTACTTATGTATCCCCATTACAAATGTCAAAAAGATACAACCAATAAATTTAAAAAAGGGTTTACAAAAATATTTAGCTTGAACTTTTTTTAAGTATCAATAAAACATTCATTCAGTCATTTAACATTTACAATGTTTTTCAAAAAATCGGTAATAAAATACTAAACCTAAATAAATAAAATATTTAAAAATATTAAACTTAGAAAAAAAGCCAATTTTATATTTTTAAATAAAATATATCAAAACCTGCAATAATCGAAATCCCCTGTCCTTGATGATTTGCATATCGTCTTCAACTAGTTTCATGACATCCTTTTCAGTACGGGCCTTGAAAATTTTTTTAAAAATGAATTGATAATAAAACATTGAAATATCCAAATGTGACCAGATCTTTTATTCCCATTAAAAAAATAAGAATGTTTTAATACATTCCCCATCCCTCTATATCTTTCATGTTGATCGCTTGTAATTATCAGGAAATGCATCGTGATATGATTAAGTAATAATTAGGCCTAGGTTTAAGCGAAAGGTGAAAGATGGTTGGGTCAAAAATACCAGTGTTAAATTGGGGGAAAGAAACCTATGACGAGTTGGAAGGTAAGAAAAGTGCAGGAATGGGTTCCATTAATGGTGATGCTCGGAATCTTAGAATAAAGCTAAACCAGGGTAAACAAGTCGGTTAATTGACCAGAGGAGTATTTGGCCTGATCTGTGATCACAATACTGTGTATTTATTGAGTACCCAATAGCAAGAGAAGCATCTTACTAGTAGGGAATTTGGATTTTAAAAAGTAATGATGATCAAAATATTTCAAGTAATATATCTTAAATTTTAGAAATAAAAGAGGTCAGTTTATAGAAAATTATGTGAAAAGCAGTACTTCCATAAGAAACAATCAAATTCCAGCCTCAATTTAGTGGAATGGGCTAGAAGTAGCATTAAATCGTATTTGACCGCTCAAATACACAACCCTGCCTTTAACATTTCGTTAAAAATAAAAATATGAGTCTAGTAAATGTATTAAAAGTTCTATTATAAGATAATCCAATATTTTCCCAGATTAATTGATATTTTTTTTTAATTTTTTAACTCGGCCCAGCTCAGAACTTCAAAGTTATATCATTTTTCTGCCCGTTCTAGGTTGGGCCTGCAGGTCTATGTAAAAAACATTTAAAATACATTCAAAAACAAAATATAAAGCTGCTGCATAAACTACGCCCATTTTTTATGCATTACTAAATTACGTCCATCTGAATTTAATATTTTATAAATTTCGACTCTTTTATACTATCAGATATTAATTTATTGGATTCCCACATAATTCCTGTGAAATAGAACTCCATATACATACATATAGTTTTCTTTGGATTCATCCTAATAGTGGACGGAATTTTTAAGATTGTTATATTTTCATATTCTAAAATTTCATTTGATTTAAATCATAGCTCGAGGCCGGCCAATATAAATTATTAATCGACCTATCCGTTAACAATTTAAATCTTGCAGTAAGTTACAGTGCCTTTATCTTGCTGTGCCATGAAGAAGACGAATTATTGGGTCAAGATGTAGATCAAATATCTCAATATTTTAAAACGTTTACCATGCTTTTTACAGAGCAAAGACTGTCAAAACCTTATGAAAGGCTTAATTCTTTTCTGATTACATGATACCTAACATTACCATAGTTCATTTCGAAAAGAGATTTAATTGAAAAGAGAAAATTCAATTATGTATTTAAGAGTACATTAAATACTTTCTTTTATTCATCTTTTTAAATGTTTTTACCCCTATGTCAAAGTATAGGTTAAGTGCAAAAATGACAAATAAATACTTAAAACGAATATCCTTTTATGAATTCTCCTATCGGCATGTTGTTGCAGAAAACCGTTTTTCTATAAAAATATATATATATATATATATGAACTATTTCCTGAATATAGATAGTTTAACTAATTTAACAAGAGAAATTTCCCTTGTAAATTTCCATGCTAATGTGATTATTATTAAGTCACATCTTTTATCTAATTCATTTAAGATTACGTTCAGATGGCATAAAGCCAAACTAGACCTTTAGGACCAAGTGACCCAGGGTGCTAGCTAAAACTGGGATGAAAAGATAATCACGTGGTAGCTGGAGTATTTATTTATTTTGATGACCTCCTGCTGTAAACCAGGATCTGAGTTCAGGTTGGAAAATAAGGAGAAGTCCCAGGATAAAAGTTTTCAACACTCCCAACCGGTAAGCGTGACATGATCTTTATGATTGAGGGGGAAAGGATTGGAGGGTCCGAGATGGTTCGGGAACCCTTTTGAAGTTAAATACTTAGATAATAAACGATTAGTTTTTGTGACGCAGATGGCAACCAAATATTTTTGAACATACCAGGTCATGGCAATTGAACGCTATTTTTTCATAAACACATGATAAAGCATCTGTATTTTTTTCGTTTACTTATCCATGTTTCCGATTCATATTAAACTTGTAATTAATATTTAAATAGGGTTACCAATAGATTTATAAAAATTCTAACTTTCACATTCCTCATTTCAGTCTAATAATAGTTTAACTTTGTCAAAATTTTAAGTGAGAATAAAAGATTAATTCCATATACACACATTATATTGAGCAAATATAAATAATTAAATTTGTATTTATCATCTAGAAGATACAAGTTTGTTCAAAAAATAAATAAGGTTAAAACTTTATAAAATTTTTAAAATACATTACCTTACTGTGAGAAGTCTCGTGATTGCTCTTTGGTAAAGTTCCAAAATTCTCTTTGAAAGGGTAAATGGGGGATTTCTCGTTACATAATTGTTCTTGGTAATTGTCTAGTATTCGACACAGGCATTCTATGGCATTGGCATCTATCATTAAAGGCGACACCCTCTCGAGAAATTGTTTGACGTTTGTGTAGAGAGCGTTGGTTGCTTGGGGGTTTCCCATCTTTTTGAGTATGTTTTTCTAATTATAAATTTAAAAAAGTGTAAAGAAAAGTGTTACTAATTCTAGTTTAATCTCTTTTTTCCTTAATTCCTTTTGGTTAACGATTGATCCACTTTGGAGACTAATTATGCAAAAATGCTTATAAAAAAATTAATTGTGATATGGGAATTTTATCCCATTTATATAAAGAGTTGAAGAAATTCGGTTTAGTTGAGCTGTGTTTTAAGGAAAACATATGAGATGTACTGGATCCAATTTTTTCTAACAAGACTAGACCGGATTCAAATTTTTATTTATTTAAAAAAATACTTTATTACAGAATGTAAATTAAATTGGAGATTTATCTATCATAATAATAAAAAATTTATTTATAAAAAATAATAAGATAAATATGCTTATAAAATTAAAAAATTATTATTCTAGGATTTGTATCAAAAAAATCAACTGCTTTTTTTGTTACTGTTCGTTAATGCTGTAAACGAACGCGTTCGAAGTTGGTATTTTTAAAAAATATTGAACGGCGTTCCTTTTAATTTTACTTTGAACGTGAATGCGTTCCTTTTTTTGACAAAAGCGTTCGTTTTTTACGCTCGTTCAATTTTAGAAAATCTCATTTTGATTCATTTGAAAATAAAAAAATTTAATCCGAATTTTTTAAGAAAAAAAGGTTATTTTTAATTAGCTGTTTCCTTTTTCATATTTGAATTTTTTTTAACCAGCCACTATTTAGTTTATTAATTTGAATATATTTATATTTTATAGATTAGTGTAAGCATGGATGTTGTTATTTCAATCTGATTCTGAATATTACCATGGTCCAAAAAAACTTTACAGCAACATTCTATCTTTAATAAACTAATTCTATCATGTGTACAAAAAGTATAATAACAGATTCAAAATCTCCAAATTGTAATATTTATTATTTTATAAAATGTAAGTATCCTGTTGATAATTTATTTTAGATTGTTGTATTAGCTTATTAAATTATTATGATTATTATAAGAGATAAAAAAATAAAAATCATTAACTATTAATAGAATAGTTAATATCTTATAGAATTTATTTATTTTTAATGTGATCATTTCAAATTTCGCTATTATTTTTAAGTTTATGTCAAGGGCTTTATATTTTAATAGTTGAACACAATTTAAAGAATATATATTTTATAAGTAATTAAATATTATATGATAAATAAATGTTTATATATATTAAAAATTCATAGATTTTTTTATAATTGAAAATATTTTTTATTAAGTTATTATAACGATTAATTTTAAACATGGCTAATATAATGTGTTAAAAAATATTGGTATTTATTTATATTAAATTAAATATTAAATGAAATTTTTTTAAAAATTTTTGCATAAAGTTTTGAACGAACGTGAACGTGTTCCTTTTGGTGAAGGTGAACACTGACTGTTAAAAGCGTTCGATATTTTTTAGAAATGTTTACAGCACTATTGTTCATTTTTACATTGAATTTCTAAATTTTTAAAATAAATCTAACATATATGTTTAAAAACTAAGTAAATCTCTATTCTTTAAGAAAAAAATTATACAGTGCTAATTCGAATTCCGGTAAAAAAACATCAGGGAACGAACAGAACCGGAAGTTTGCCCCAAAGGAAAGGGGTCATTAAAGGCTGATTGTTCCAATTACTTGAAAATGAGGGATAGAATATATATATTTTATTTCTTACACAAATCTGACATGCTTCCTTGCAAGATATATTGTCTCTTACGAGCGAACCAAACATTTTGAATAATTTATCGTCTAATTTGAACATGGCATCTAACCTTTTTAGATGGTCGAAAGCTTTTATGGGTTCTGGCAACATTCCTGAAAATCAATGAAAAAGAAAAAAAGTGATTCAAAAAGCGTAAATTATGACATATTATTAGCACAAATTTGGCGATTGTTAATTTAATAGTTAAAATAATGCCTTTTGGTATATTATATTTATAACTTAAAATTTCATGTGTTTACAATTTAATAAAAACTCTTTTATTTTAAATTTATATATAATTCTAGAAAAATTATAATATAAATCAGATATCCGTAAGTAGTCAGATTATAGGCATGGCGAGAATTTTTTTAAAAAAAATCATTTTCAAACCTGGCCTTGATTTCAAAAATTTTGATTGATCACTCATGGCATGACTCGTTCTTAAAATTTTTTAATAATTTTGGCTGTAATTTGTAAAATAATTTAGGGAGATTGAAAATATGCGAACGAATGTTAAATGATCTGTCATGCGATTTTTCAATTGGTTAATTTGTATATAAATTTTAAAATTTTGGCCAGGTCTAGCGCTTGAGACTCTACTTAATTATTTTAGGTCCAGCTCAGGCATTATAGTGAATATGTGAATTTAAGTAACAAGATACTTTATAACCATGTATATGCAATGCATATTTTTTACATTTTTATTTCAATCTCAATCTATTTCTTTTTTTTTAAATTGTCTTATATATTTTCATTTCCCTGACAAAAGATATATAAACCTTTTATATATATTTCATATATATCTTATTCATTTTTATTTTTTTAAAATATTTTCAATAAATTTTACATATCCATTTATGCAGAATTAATTTCCTATTCAATGTTGACATAAGAGCTTATCAGGTGTCATACAAGTGTTAATCATTGTAAATAAGATAGAACGATATGCAAGATATATTAAATTATTTAATGATATTCCAGGATCATTTAGGATACAATTTATATATGGCTTTCTTTTTTCCCTTCTTTCATATAGTGAACCAAAAAGAAAGTATATTATGTGAAAAATATTTTTTAACCAACTCGATATTTGAAACAGCTTATTTAAACTAGCATCGGTTGTTGTGGTGTTTGCCTTCGAGTTTAACTTACGATTCTTTTTATCTGTGATCGTAAATAAATATAAGGTATATTGTTTATTCCATTTTTTAAATGTAATTGAAGAAGATCGCTTGATTAATTTTCAGCATGAACCCCAAGAAGACTCATGAAAAATATTATACTGATTCAAATAATTCATACCAATAATTGTTATTTTTCAATCTGTAACTCTGGTTCTTTTCATTTCCACCTTCCTTATATTCTTTAATTTAATTTGGTGGCGTCTCTATCTTTCACCATTTAAGTTTACTAATAAATCAAAAAATATATTAAGGTGTCACTTAAAAATCGATGAGCTAAATTAGAAAATATTTTAGGTATGCTTAGATTTAATTCGGGTGACTTGATTCTAACCTCATTTCTTATGATGCATTTTCTTCCCTTTTTCTATTTGTTTCACTTTTATACTCTCTTCCATAAATAATATTCCTAATTCACTTGATACATTGGAGTAATTATATGATTATAAAAATTAGAAAAAATTCTCAAAACCCAAATTATCTAATGAATCGATGTATTGAACTGTAAGAGTTCGAATAACGAATTGTTTTTTCCACATTTCGGTCCAGGCTTTGACACTGTGCTCGTCTATGTTAACAAAAAGGTGCAAGAGCCGGTACATTCTCTTGTGAGGGGTCAGGTTGAAGGGAACCAGGCAAGTGTTGAAAACCCTTTCCACTAAGATCCTGAAGTAATAATAAAAGTATTTACAATATAAATCATACACTACAGAGGCGTAAATTTTAAACCCGGCATGAATACGATTTTATTTTTCATTTACAAGTCTGACCCGAAAAAATTTCTCAACCCGAATTTTTATTTTTGATCATTTTCAAACCTAGCCCGGAATTTTCAAAAAATTTATTATTTTGAATTATTTTGGTTGTATTTTATTAATTGTTTCAAAGGGAGCATAAAAATAATGAACAGTAAATAAATATAGCTTTATTATATTATTTTCCTAAATTTATTTATTTTTAAATTGGCTCGTCCCGAGTTTTGTTGAAAAAAAATTTTTAGGCATGGTCCAAGTTTTTTTAAATTTACGGTCCAGCCTTTGATCGGGACTTGCAACACTCTATAAATATAGGAACCTAAAAAGCTAAGAAGTATGATTCAAGGGGATAATGTTAGCTTAGCACAAGATAAATTAACTTAAGTCGGTATATGGCAAAGATAATTAGGGTTAGGGCTAGATGGTTTACCCATAGTACAAAATTGAAACAGTGAATATAAAACAACGTTAAATATTTTTATCATAAAACACAAAATAATTAATATTAGAGCGTTATATAACTTTATATTATAGTAAATATATGAGGGAAATCTATTTTTTTTTAGAGTGAATAAAATCAAGTTTAAAAAGTGAGAGTGGGGAGGGAGAGCGGTTAATTTAAAAATCGATAACCTTATATAAGTGATAAATATGGTAGTTTGTAAGGCGATAAGATTTTACTTAAAAAAGAAATGATTAAACCAGGAAAAATATAAAATTGATAAATCAGTGCAGACAAACAGATTTCGCTCAAAAGTGGGAAGCTTTTTCTCTAAAAGTGTTTCGTTTGAATAAAATCAGCCTTTGAAATCCCCTAGTTAACGTAATCAGCTTTTATATTGACAATCAAAGTTATCGTGTTATAATATAAATAAAACCCCATGTAACCATGATCTTTTTAAACTAATTGATAGGTGTACACAAGTAAAATATTTTATATAAATAATAAAACCAGCTAGACAATATATTTACTGATCGTCTATGGTGTTTTGATAGTACGAGTGCATGCATTGGTCCCGGATCCAATATAATTTTCTGCGTTCAGACTCAGTCGCATTGCAGTGAGTGCTGTTGCTCGATATGGCATAAGCTGCTTTGTATATATTACCAAGGCCCATGGTAGCTTCTTTTCTTATACGAAACTTTAAAAAAAATTGTGAATTAAAGCTAGCAAAATATTTTTTATTAAATGATCAACATTTTATGATTGTATAAATATAAAATTAGTGAATCAAAAACTGATCAATAATCTTTGATAAACAAGAAAAAATTTTAATCAAAAAAAAAAATAATCTGTTAGATATCAATATTGTAAAAACATGAAAAAAACCCCCTAGAAAAATATAATTTACCTAAACTAGGAGCAGGTTAAGACCTGATGTTGGCTAGACTAGGAGATTAGAGAAATAAATGATAGTCAAATTGCCAAACCTATTAAATATAGGTATCGAGATAGTTGACATATAAAAGAATTTCTTTTAATGATACTTGTACTTGTTATTTTAATTATTTTGGCTTAACCTAGCTACAAAACATTTTCTCATTTTATTTTCATATAAATAACTTAGATGATATATTCAATATAATTATAGAAAGTTGCAATCAACTTTCTCTCTCTTTTTTTTTCTTTATATTCTTTCCTTATTTCTCATCAAGTTTCCTAACCTGCCATCCATATTACTTTTTTATCCAGTGTTCTACTCCTCAATATATCAATTAGCTTTTCTTTCTCTAGTCCACCATCTTTATTATGTGTTTTGTCACTAATGTCGTCATATAAAAACAAGCTATTCCAAGGGGTATGATTGGGAGATTTTCCGTCAATCTGATTGGTAAGTTTAGATGACACTCCGTGGCTGGCTAAAGAGGCTTCAACCTGTGTAATATTTTTTATTTGGTTGATTGCTTAGTTAATAATTGCTTCAAAGATTAAGAATTTATCATGATAAAAAGAATTACCGTTATTAAGTGATAAACTTATCTAAATTTCATAAGTACTGTGTATGAGAAGAAATCATAGACAAGTAGACAAAAGAAGCACTACAATTTAAGAATTTTTTTAAAATTTAGACTTAATAAAGTTAATGTTAAAATGAATGAAAGTTTTAAGTATTAAAAATCATTTCTATCTCAAAAGTTATTCTCTTAATTATGGGTTTTAATAGATCTTTATAATTCTAATCTCAAAAGGACATTGTGTCATTGTTGTGTATGTTATTAATTAAAATTTCTTAATAATTTTTTAAATTAGCAACAGTTAGGATGTGTCCTTCGACTTATTACTATAAAGCTAGCTACATAGCTTCGACTAAACAGCTTAAAAAGTAAGAGAAAAAAATACGAAAAATAACAATGCCACCAAACATTTAAAAGAAACAAGAATAGGGTGTGCTAGTTCAAAATCTCTAAAGAGAAAGTATGAAAAATAAATCGAACCAGAAAACACTATTAAAGCTTAAGGTATAAAACTATAAAATAAATAAGAGCAGATAAGAATTATAATAAGATCCGTTTAAACTAGTAATTAAAAGAATAACCTGATATAGAAATAAGCAGTTTTTAATTAAGAAATTTTAAAAAAATCTTCAAAATGAATTAGAAGTTTGACGCCTCTAGTCAAGACACAAGAAATAAAACAGAGAAAAAATTTGCCTTCCATCTTTTTCCTTTTTCTTCAAAATGCAAAACAAATTTAAAAAAAAATAAGGTTATGAATGACCGGTAAAATTTGATTAAATTGAGCTCTTCATAATCTCATATCATGAAATTGATAAATTATTTAATTAACATGTGAAAGGAAATCATTTCGAAAAATTGGCACAACGTGAGATAATCAGAAGGCTCAAAATGAAACAGATTTTACAGGATTTATTAAAAACCAAGGCAAGCACAAGTTGAAGACGAACTGCTTCGTCTGGATCTAAGGCTCTGGCCGATAGCTTATCTACGAACTCGTTGGTAGAATCGCTAATCAGCGATGACGAGACAAGTAAGTCTTTATGATTCATGAGTAAATGGGAAACGTAACAAACACATATCAAACGAATCGAGGTATCTATATCGTTAAACCTGATAGGAATAAAATATGTAATTTATCAAATATTTTCAGTAATCGATTTCGATATTAAATATCCCGGGATTGGGAAAGGACAAAAACTTTATATTAAGATGAAAGTGATATTTTGTAGATTACCATAAAATTATTGGGTAAATGTCTATTTTAAAATTTTTTATATCAAATATTAAGTGTCAATTTTTTATTCGCCATTTTATATATCACAGGCCAAATTAAAAATAGCTGTCAATACAAAATATTCTATTTAAAACCAATGATGGGATCTAATTCTATATCAAAAAAATCTGTAATCTCTAAAATAAATAATCGGAAATGAATTTATTATTGTAATTTGTGAGATACACGGAAAATTTATTTTAAACACTGATCATTAAAAAAAGGAAAAAACATACCTTCCCAAAAAACTTTTCCATAACGCTGGATTTTCTGAGGCTAAATTAGAATCCTTTTCAGAAAACATCCTACCTAAAGCCTTGGTTGCGTTGAGTCTTTCTTCGCTTTTGTCGCTCTGAAATAAAAAGTAGAGGAAGATATAAAATCAGCCACACGGGTAAATAGCCTTGATTAAGATTACCGCTATAAAATGGCGTGCGTAATTAAGTAAAGATCTCCATCAACTTAAAATAGAAATACATGATTCCTTTTTTTTTTACCGATTTTGAAATATTTAATATTTTAGAAAATGCCGATATCATCGATTCTGTTATTGGCAGTTTTTTTGATTTTTTAATGCTTGTTTTGATAAAGTACTTTTTTAGAATCATTTTTAATTTCAATGTGCAGATTAATAATCACTACTTATAATGAGTATATAACTTTTTTTGCCTGATTTTCACAATTATAAAATGAGTTTAAATAAAGATTAAAAAAATCAAGGTAAAAATACTATTCATATGTAAAAATTAATTAATATCCGCACCATTATATTTTGATATTCATTTTTAATATGATTTTGGAAAGGATGAGGTACCACTAAAGAGGTAAACATTGTTACCTTTAGGGGTTTCATTGTATATCTATATTTATATAATCAGTTATTTTTTTAAATAAAAAAAGTCAAATCTTTCTTTTCTACTACAATTTTTAAAGTCCACCTTGAGTTTGAAATCCAGCAAGGGTAAAACTTGAGTCAATAAGCCAGGCGCCAATATATAGAGCTCGTGTATAAAATCGTATACTTTGATTTCGCGATATTTAGTGTTACTATTATTTATATCTTTCGATTTCTTTTTATCTTGTTCTTCTTCATCGCCACTGGAATGGTTTAACTCTACATATATTTTTTTAAAGGTGTTGCTTTAAAAACAATTAAATTATTTGTTATTCATACTGTCATTTTATTTTAAAAGTTTTCTATGTTAATTCACAACGCTATATTTGTTTGATATTAAATTGTTCTTTGTGATACTTTTTTTCCTACCTTTCTTTCCTTCCCTTTTTGCTATATCTCCCTTTTATATTCGTAACTTCTTTCTATTATTTCAAATCCTTGTATACGATTTTCTTATCTAATAATGGGAACGAAATTAAACTCGATAATAATAATGCAAGCTTAAATGTTGCAATTGTGAACTTGTGTATTTTTTAACGAAAACCATAAAATTAAATTAATATTCTTTGAAATTAAAAGAATTTTTTTAATGAAAATAAATTGAGATCACTTCAATATTCAAAAATGGAATTTTGACTAACTACATATTTTTTGTAATAAAATAATGGCTTACCATTTATATTAACCCCATCTTTTTCTTTATCTGGAAACAAGACAGTGGTAAAGTAAGGTTGAATGTAGGGTTCAAGTATATTGTACGTTCTTTTAATCAAATCTTTTGCCAAATTAAAACTGTCTCTCCTTTGAGTCTTTTTATCATTGAAATACATATATTTATGAAAATAAAAACTGAGAAATTAAATTTTTTTTGGCCTTATACCATATCAAAATCACACTTCTATCTTAAATAATGTTCGATCAACTTCTTTGACCAATACCAATCTGCAAATCAGACCTGACACCAAACCGATACTTATTTTGACATTTATAATTTTTTCTCAAATTTCACTCTTAGAAAAAATTTGTATAAATTTTATAATATAGTCAGAAGAGTGAGCCGCCAGAAAACTTTGGAGAGCCCTCTGAAAATATTATTACTTTTTATATATGCACCTATATTTTCAAATTTTCGGTAGTTATTAATTTTTTTGTGCTAATGCGATCAGAATAGAGTAAAAAGCCTATGGGCTTTGGTAAAGCTATAAAAAGTTTTTTGTTGTCCCACCTCTTGAATTAAACAAATCGCATATATTACCTTTGGGTAATTCCATGACAAATCACCCAGTGTTTCGGAAGACCATTTTAAAAATCGATAAAACTTAGTATAAAGGTTATATATATTGTATATGTTATAAAAATCAAAATTTTAATATTTTAGCTCAAATAGAGCAGAAATTATAGGCCTTCACGAATAATGGCGCTATCTTGATTTTAATAATCTCAAGTTCAAAAATTATTAATAACCCTCAAATCTCCTTTAGAAAACAATAAAATTATTTTAAAAATATCATCAGTTTTGTTGGAGGGACCACATTTCAAACGATGAAACTCACAAAATATGTTTAAATATTTAATGGAAAAAATAAGGATGAAATTTTTTTTTTAAATTTTAGGAATAAATATATCAATTATAGAGGATATTTGAAACGATGAAGCTCACCAATTATGCTTATTATTAAATATATTTAAATACCAATTTTATTTAGTTTTTTTTATAATTTTGTGAATAAAAATTTTTTTAAAATATAAATATGAATTTTATAATATAAATGTGTTAATATTTAAATAAAATTATTATGTATACTAGAATACATTTTTTTGTACCCCAATTAAAAAAAAATAATTATTTTTAAAGAATTTATAGTTGATTTTTTTATTATTAAAATTATAAAAATTAAATTCTTATTTCTCCATTAAATTTTTACTTAAATATTTAAATATTATAGTAATAAACATATTTGATGAGCTTCACCTTTTCAAATGCCCTCTATAATTGATTTATTTATTATTAAAATTAAAAAAACTATAGAAAATTTTAATTCTTAATTTCTCCATTATAGTTTAACTTAAATATTCAGATATATGGCTAATAAACATATTTGGTGAGTTTCATCTTTTCAAATGTGGTCCTTATCAAAATAATTATTTTGTTTTATCAGAAATACAATGACACTAATTTCTAAAATAATTTTGGTATTTTCTTAAGGAGAATTTAGAGGGCTACAAAATGATATACAATTTGTGATTTTGAACTAAAAATTTTTGAGTAATTTGAGATTCGTTAAAATAAAGAAGGCTCTCATTAAACTTTGAAGGCCCACAATGATATATTTGAGCTAGAGCTATTGATTTAATTTACTGTCAAAAAAAGCATGTCTTGTAACGAAACAATAAGAAAAACTACTGAATATGCCTGGTATCCCGATACATTTAAAAACTTAAAACTGTGTACTTTAATTAAATTGTTTTTGTTTGCTAACATATTTTAAATGATAATATATTAAGTACTACATATACAAGCTTAATAATTTATTCTCAAAATAGATATATTTTCTAATTAAATTATATAAATATTATTATTAAGTATTATATAAAACACAGTTATGACTGTGCAGTATAAAAATTACTTATCACATTACTAAAAATAACATATAATAATTTTTTTTTTAATTTACACAATAATCCTATTCAAAAATTGGTATTGGTTAGGTTTTATGAAAAGATTGGCAAATTAAATTTATTTTTCAAAGGATCAATATAAGAGCCAATTCCATATTTATATTGGTGCAACCCTAATCTTAAATATATTTAATAAAGTTTGGCAATGATTGACAATTAAAAAAAGGCATAAAAAATTAAAATATAACCTTATATGGCTCAATGATACATACCAAAATAGACTCCAGTAGTTCATTGGATACATTGTCGATATCTATTAACACCGAACTCATGATATCAAGCATATAGTTTCTAACTTTAGTGGAATGTGCTTCACTATATTTATTGATAATATTTAAAAAAATGTGCATGCTAGAATAATTAATATTAAATAATATCTCTTTTTTACTATAGGTTTTTCAACAATGTTCCAAACATTGTTTAAAACAAAGTATAAATTATAGGTCTGCAAATTCAGGCCCAACCCACTGGAAATTTAGTTTTTGTCTGGCTTAGCCTGTCATTATTTTTACTAAGGTTCACCAGTCCAGTTTTTAAATTTTTTTTAATACAGGGTCTAAACTGAAATATATATTGTTGAAATCAAAAAAACAACTATTTATAATATTGGGAAGTGGTTAAATTAAAAACACTATACTTTATGGATTATCACTTCTACAAAATATCAGAATTTAAAAGAAGCATTTTGCCTGGCTTATCCCATTAATTTTTTGTCCAGTTTGGCCAAAATGATGGGTTGGGCTTTAACTGACCTCTATAAATATTACCAAAGTAATTTAACACTTTAAATAATATCGGATAATTATAAATATAGTTAATTATAAAAAGAAATAATAGAAGTTTGGCTGTTATTGATATTATATTTAATTAAATCATGTTTTTATTTTAACAAATGTTATTAATTACTTAATGACATTGAAAAAGAGTTTGAATAGTTTGCAAAAAATTTCTTGTCCTTCATCAATATCAAAACATATATTAAAAGCCTTCATCCAAGCCAAATTCTGTATAAATCACTCATTAAATTATGAAATTATATTATATACTTCTAATAAGTAAAAATGTCTTTTAAAATAAACATTGGTAGGGGATTTTATTCCTTTTAATTCTTCAACCAAAAATGTAAAAATGTTCTAATGCATCTACATATTTTTTTATTGATAAAATTATAGTACTTTAATCATATATGGTTCCTTATATGGAGGATTTGGGGCAAATACACGAAAGATATCAACTATTATACAAGCTACAAGTAATTTAGCTTCTTTGCTTGAATGATTCATAAATTCTTCAGATGCAATATGAAGTGCAAAATTCTCATAACAACTAACATTATCATTCTGCCCCAAATTCTGAAATACTCCTGAACATATCTGATCAATATAAAAATATTTACATCATTCCATTATAAATACCTTAAGCCTTTTAACTAATTCCTCTGTTGAGAGCTCCTCAGATATTTCTTTAACCCCTGGTGGGTATGTAATATCATAATCAACTTTATGATTATCGAAAGCAGTAGGCATATTTTCCTCACTCAGTGTAAATTTTCGCAATATACCATATGGTTATTTTATGCGCTAAAAATCGAAAATTTAATTTTATTTAGCAAGGATAAAACTAAATTAAAGTTAACTCTATACATAATTAAAAATTCTAATAACAGCCATTTTTAGGATATTGTTGTGTAATTAAACTGCTAAGCTTAGGCCTGAATTTTAACTTTATATTATAACCAATGATTTATTATTCAGCCTTTACCCAAAATTATATAATTAGAAAAAACTTTTTAAAAAACTACATCAGTATTATTTATATTTTTAAGAAATTATATATAGATAGAGTTTTGTAAATAAATATCAATGGTTTTTGAAAATATAAAATCGGTGGTTTCAAAACTGATTCAATTTCGCGTTTCAATAATAGCATATATTATTATAAAAATTTTTATATCCATAAAAATGGTCCGTATCATCCAATATCCATAGATCAAAAAGTGTTCAGATTTTTTTCCCTAAAATACCAGCATTTCGATTCCATACCTCGTCTTTTGATAAGCACTCATATAAAGGGATATATATCCATAAGATTATAAAATTGATTTGTTCAAATCAACAAAATATTTGTTTGTCATAGCAACCATAGTCCCCACCTTCTATTCCGAATATAATTAGAATCGATGTTGTATACCCAAAATATTTGGGGGTAGTTGCCAAGAAGATTCAAGTTAAAGGGGAATAGTCTATAGACGAGGTCAATCGACAGGGACAAATTATGATGACTACTTAGTTGATGATAATAAGGAGTAGTAGCGGGATCACGATGAAATTGGTTGGCGTAATTACAGGGGCCTCATGGTGTTTCAAGATATAACGATTTGTTCAAGTACCCTTTAATGAGTGTTGTTAAACGGCTCGATTTGAGCCGATTTTTGTAAACGGCTAACTCCATATTTTAGCCAAAAAATATTGCCTAAAGATATCCAAACTTCTGTGTTATCTATGAGCAAAATATTTATCCAGGCTTGCGTAATGTTTTACTAAATAATATATTGAGTTAGCCATTTTTAAAAATCGGCTCAAATCGAGCCGTTTAACAACACTACCCTTGACGCTTTGTGGACTGCCCACGTGGATACTATTGGTAAGAATGGTGGATTCTTAATCGGCCCTAGTGATAGTGATACGGCTCAAGCGATAGCTAGAACCTCGAGAAGCGTTCAAAATTTAAAGCCATTGGGACCATACAAGGTTTGCGACTACTCGAGAATGTTTTGGAATTGATAAAGGAGGTGAGCGAGAGATATTGTGAAGTGAATAGCTACCGAACACGGGGTTGACAGACAAGAATAATAAATCCACATCATATTGTTTTGGAAATGGAGGAAAGTTAGAGAATTATTGCTGTGGATTATGGAATGGATATGATGTTTATATTGGATGTTTATGATTGTATTATTATGATTTGTTATCGGATTAATTATGATTAATATAATTTGTATAAAAGGTTTATTTGATTGCGATAAAGAATTAAATGAAGTCCAAGTTATATATATATATACTGACCCCCAAAAATGTATGCATATATCTTAAATAATAATTTAGAAAGAATGTAAAAGTTGATATTTTTTTATAAAACTAATATGTCGTAGATTTACAGTATATCTAATTTTATCAATTATCATATGACAATCAATTAATTTTTACCAATATAGCGAATTATATATTTTACAGAAAAAGTATAAAATATTGATAAGGACATCAGAAAATATCTTTTAAAGACATTGTGGGATGAATAATATGAAAATTAATTTTTTATATCATTTTTATTTAAATTAAATAAATGGCGTTAAATAATTGAATGCAAATTGTTTCTATTTTATTATCAAGAGCATTGATTAGTGAAATTTGTTAAAATATTAACTGTAATATATAGTCTAACTGTCAAATATGTATGTAAAAGTGGAATTTTACCTAGTATTTTGTAACTAATTCTATATAATAGAGGAATATCAACTATATGTCTACTTACATTTTATAGATAAATTTCTTATACTTGTTCAGAATAAATTATTACCATGCTTTTATATTAATGTATATACAAAATTTATTGTATTTTATATAAACTAATAAAAATATATTTCATATTTGTTCCAGTCTTATTTTTTTTATTAAAATTAACTTCCTATCTTGTAAAAATATTTTATGAGTATATATAGACTAAGGTAATCCGGCCAAAGCCAGGGCAAAAGCGGGCCAAAGCCAGCCCCAAATGGGGGCGAAGCTTCCAGTAATTTTTTAATCCCCCCCTCTTAGGAAAATCCTGGCTACGTCTATGATGCAAGTCATACTGGATCAAAGTTTACTATTATATCTCATGAGATGGCTAAAAAAAAATTGGCATAAGAGAAATGAAGAAATCCAGATTGCTACTTACAGCCTACGATGGAAACTTGATTAAGATCATCGGGACAACGCAAGTCAAAGTAAATTATGAAGGAATCACTAAATATTTATTAGCGGTAGCTGTAGAGTCAAGAAAGAACGCGTTGTTAGGAAGAATCTGGATCAATGCCTTTAAAAATATTTTAAATAAATTCATAGGAAATATCGACAACAATTGTGAAGACGAAAATAATAAACTAATTAAAGATTGTAAATCCAAATTGACCCCAGAACCAATTAATAAAGTAATTGTCAAATTACATTTAAGATGTGACGCCCAACCTAAAATAATACCAGCAAATTCAAAGATTGATCTTGTGGGCGAAGAACTGAATAAATGGATACATGAAAAAATTATTGAGCTGGTAAAAAATGTGCGATGGGCGAGTCCTATAACCGCTATATACAAAGATAATGGGAGCATCAGGCTTTGCGCTGATTTTAAAGACACTATAAGATTTCAGATGAAAGAAGTTTACCAAAATCGATTTCAAAAATGCATTTCTACAAGTTCCGATCGATAAAAATAGCAGAAATCTTTTGACAATATCCACACATAAGAGATACTACCAATTTACCAGACTTCCTTTTGGGCTAAAAACTTCATCTGCTATATTCCAACAAATCATGAATGAGATATTCAGTGACATGAAAGATGTTATATTTTATATTGATGACTTACAAATAACTGGAAGTAACCATTAAAGGTGTTTGAGAGAATATTATCGTACGGTTTAGCACCTAATTTCGCCAAAAGCTTATTTTTAAAAAACAAAGTTAGGTTCCTGAGTCACGATATAGACGATAAGGGGAATCTTGCTAACCATGACAAAATCGAAGCAATAATTAACATGCCAGAGCCAAAATCAGATGATGAGTTATCAACATTTCTGGGTATGGCTGATTACTATAGAAAAATTTTGAATAACCTTGCTGAAATTGCTGATCCTTTATACAAAATTGTCAACAAAAAAAAATTGGAATGGAAATTCATTCCAGAAGTTTTAATGATTTAAAGAAGTTGAATTGTCTTCCGCCAGCCTTGACTTATTTTAATCCGGAATTACCTATCGGAAATGTGACTGATGCATCTAAATGTGGATTAGGAGGTATATTATTTCACACAGAAAAAGATATCAAAGATAAACCTATAGCTTTTGGGTCAAGATGAAATAAATTATACCAATATTGAGCGTGAGGCTCTTGCCATTGAAAATTTAGGAATTAAGCCCATAATTCATCCCAAATAATAGGGTGAGGTGTTGTGAAATATTATAATTTATTTTTTTTTATAAAGAAATTATTATTTTTTTTTTATATTTTAATTAATAAAAAGATTTCGAAATTGTAATTTTTTGGATTTTAAATTATTATATATTTTTTTTAATTTATAAAAAAGTTTTCGAAATTGTAATTATTATTTTTGTGAGAAAATTTTAATAAAAGAATAAAATTTTGCGTAATTATTTGTGTTTAGTTAATTTCCTCTAGGTCTCATATCAGTGGTCACAATAATTTTACTGTTTCCTCAAATTCTCATATCATTAATTGCAACAATTTGGTATGTTCGCAATTAAAAGATGAATATTTGATTGGGACTTTACTATCATCATGGACCATAAACCACTAGTCCATATTTTTACCAAGGGATTCAAGGACAATAGTACCATGTCCTTAAGGTTACAAAAAATGGAATATAACTTTGGGGGGTTACGACTTCAGCATAAAGTATAAAGCAGGTAAATACAATGTTGTTCCTGATTGCCTTTCCAGATGTGATGATGTTAAAAATATTGAAATTGAAATTGAAAATGACTTTGCCGATACACTTATTAATTTTAATAAGCGTGATGAAACTTACACAGATTTAGAATTATCTCAAATTATAAATGACATCTATATGATAATTTTCCGATGTCCTCACTATGTCATCGTGACGACATGTCATCGGTACGTATTTTTTTTATTTTTTTTTATTTGTTGATTTTATTTATTTGTTTTATACAAACAGATGATCCTACCAACAGTCTTAATTTATTTTTAAATAGATTATATTTTTTATTATTTTTAATTATTACTTTTAGCGATTCAGAACAGGAACCATATTCACATTTCATTTTGCAAAAATGGATAGATATTTATAAATAATACTGATTGGAAGATGATTCAATAAGTTAATCATTTTCCTTGAATTCCTAAAATATGAGTGCCAGTTATTTAAAAAAATTATCTAAATAAGGGCACTCTAGGATTTTCATGTGAAACAGGCTGAAGGCTATGGATCATACAAGTATATTGTAAATCTTAAAATGGGAATATCTTTTAAAATAATGATAATAACTTAATCAAAGTTTCCTTTTCACTGATTTCATAAGTTAAATATTAGAAGAAATATGATTATTAAATTAAGCTAATTCTTTTTTAAAAAAAGAAAAGATATATACTCTTTTTACACTTACATATCACTTACACTTTTCACTCCATACTCTTCATTATAATATCACAAAACCTTTCAGGCAACTAATCCTTATAATTGCCTTATTCACTTATATCTGTTTGTTTTCTGAAGTTTAAATATTTAAATAAGAATATTAAATTAAGTTAATTATACTAAATGTTTTATCTACTTTATAAA